ATTTTCCCCCTGTGCATGAAGCTCCCTCAGATATGCCCCTTATCACAGGAAGACTCTGCATAATTAATTCCCAACATAATGGTCCCACTTCATAATTAATTTATTCATTCTCTTGCTGTATAACTGTTTCTCAACTGACTTTGGTAATAGTTCTCTGCATAATTGATTCATATTGCTGTTGATTCTCCCCATTTTTATTTAATACCAGAAATGATTTGCCATATAACTGCTTCATTGCTTAACTCATTATCTACACCATTGCTTGGTATCATAATTGATTCACTGCTTAACTGTCCCACAGCATAATGAACAGCAAGTAATGGCCATCCACTTTTCACCTCCATTTCCTTTCCCTACATCAGCCTTTTCCTTTCTTTATGTGACAACCTGAAGCTTTCCTGACAACACACCCAGACCGCTTATGCATCCTCGCACATACCATCACACTGCTCCTGATCCTACCTACTTCTCTTCACAACATACTATGTTATTCTCAAAAAGCACATGTACACTGGTGACTTTGCCTTGTTTATTTGCACCGCCCTGCCTGAGATATCTGGGGGAAAAAATGCAAATAAATATCCAGAAATTAAAAAGACAACACATAACCATCCCTTGCTTCTTTCCTTCCTGCAGAGATGACCCCAAACCTCCAATCTGCTCTTTCCCTATTCACATGCATGGATATTATAGTTTGTTCTGAATCTTAAGTGAGTATGAGCCAGATCTCCAAGGAGCAATTAAAATACAGGAAGGAAAGTCCTGCCTGACAGTCCCAGTGCAGGACTCATTTAGGAAGGAAATAAGAAAAGGGCTGTGGAGACACAAAATTCTTATTTGCAACTTAGATGATGCCCTATGTGTAAAAAGAATGAGAAAAAAGTAACTCCTACGGAAAATCTCCTCCCTTATTTCTGTCTTTCAGCATACAGAGATCAGGAACAGCTGCTGCTGCCCTTCTGTGCCATGAGATTTATTCCTCCTGCCTCTATTTAGCCAAAGGTAGTGAATACATCAATATTTTGTATACGAGGTAATTCTTGGGGTGGCAGGAAGGGATATTGGTCCAAATCGGTCTCCACTGTAAGGCACTTAGTTTTGATAGCTTTAAACACAGATGGTGTTTATCTGTTCATTCTGCAGGTAAAACATGTCCCATAAGAACATAGAAAGATTTAATATTCTAATACAAATGCCATTTTCTCATTGCTGTCAACCACAGCACTTGAATAAATATACATCCTTCCTTCAAGAAGTCACAGTAGGGTTATTTCTGGCAATTGAACCAGCTTCTAGAGACATTCTGCTGGTGTTTTCTGCAAGGAGCTGGGTGAATGACCCCATTTGAAGATTCGTGCAATTGCTGTTTAGCGACTTAGGGGATCGGGTCAATTGGTTTAAACCTTGCCTGGGTCCCAAGACTTCGAATCGGAGCGGCACTGATAGGCAGCACTATTAGCAGTTACTGCCATCTACGGGTCGGATCACCTTAGCTTTATTCCTCAGTGATCGTTTCTTTGTTACAAATATACCTGTTTCATACATGAACAAATGTAATAGTGTAATAGAAGAAATTACAGAATCATCACTGATTTCTCTACTAAAGAGAAAACAAAATAACAGATGCATGATTTCACTTATGCATCCACCCGTACAGAATGGGAGAAGATTTTGAATGCTTAGTATTATTATCTGCTCTAGACAAGGGGAAAGATGACATCGCTTCGTTTTCCATCTTCAGTGTGTTAGGTGCCACCTTTGCTTCGAAACCACTGAGGCACACTCATCCCTGATATATCAGCACTGAAATGACTTCAAATGCACCTTATCATTTGCATATTCATTTGAATGCTGTTATAGCCTTTATTTTTTTAATCCCTTCAAAGTGGGAAAGCATTCATGCACTGGTTACTCACATTCTTTTCCAGCCTGGGAGGATTTTAGCTTTCCCCATTTAGAATTAAGAGCAGTCTGGGGTATTCACCACTCCTGACAGATGTTAACCCCCCTCAACTCCATACAGTCATTTCATGTTAAACATTTGAAGTAAGTAACAGGACTATTCAGTGCTGGTTTGGACTGTGCCTGTGGTCTTTTTAGCTCATTAGTCATTCTCTAACAGTGGCTAACCCCAGATGCTTGAGCAGGAAAGTGAAAAACCTCCATACTGGAAAATCAATGCAAGGGCACAGGAACCCATCCCTTTCTATTATGGGTAAAATCCTTTTCACAAGCCAATCACATTAATCTAAAAACTGACTTCAGTTTTTGAACCCTCCCAATTCCTGCTGGAACATTTTCAGGACTGTCCTGTGGAGTACAAAACTTTTAATTTCTAACTTAAATGTATTTCTGCACACTTCACTCCAAATATTCCTTTATCGGTAATGTCCTTTTTCATAAGCAGTGGTTCTTTTCTCTTTCTCTGCCTATTTTGCACTATTTTGTTTAGAGATGGAAACAAGATACTCTCCCAACCTTTGTTTTGCCGAGTTAAACAAGCCAATCTCTTTTTAATCACGTGACAGAAAAGACTTTTCATTCCCTTAATTATCCCATTGACAGTAGGTTGCCAGTTTGAATCTGAACTCATCTTTCCTGTATTGGAGCACCAGAACTGTAGTTTGTATCTAAAATGACATTATACTCAAGAGTTAATGAAACTTTCCATGTGAACCATTGAAAATACCCTACTTGATGCACCTTAGGGTTACATTTGCTTCCGTTGCAGTCACAGCACATTGGTGGCTCAACGATGCCCCTCAGATCTCATTTTACCATCCCCTTTGTTTTTCACCTAAAAGTACTATCAGATACTGTCTTTAGTCGTTATTCTGCATTTTGCATTACGTCGCCATTTCTGTTACCCCAGTTTTTAAAGTCATGCACCACTTCTTAATCCTTCTCTGCAGATTTCCCTGTTACAACCAAGGGGGTTATAACTCTAGATCAGTGAATGCTGTGTGCCTTCAGGGACAAAGTTTACAGGACACTAAACATGTAACCTTCAGCATTTGTTTCATTTATGGTCTCTAAGTAGGACCTAACAACTTCCATGGGGAAATGGATAGATTAAAGTCAAGTGTTAAGCAGTGTAGAATCATTAGATAGCATAAAGTTGTTCATCCTGTCCTCTCCTGGCTTGCAACTGCATTGCTGGTGCCTCTTCATGCAGGAATTAGTCCCCAGTGCTCAGTTAGAGAAACAGATAGCTCTGAAGCTACTACAGCCTTCTGAAAGGGCCTCCAGAGTGCAGTGAATCTACCTGCTGGTTAGTATGTACCAATTTTCAGCACAGAGAAGGTCAGACCCCTGCCCTGTCCCTGGCAGTGTTCAAGGCCAGGTTGAACAGGCCTTTGGGTAACCTGGTCCAGTGGATGGAGTCCCTGCCAACGGCAGGGGATTGGAACAAGACGATCTTTCAGGTCCCCTCTGGACCAAACCATTCTGTGATCCTAGGATTCTGTGAAACGGGATCTGGAAGATTACACTGGAAAGGAAAGAAAATGAAAGCATTGATCTCTGGTGCAGAGACAGAAAGTCGGTTGTACTGGGAGACCTCCCTAAGTAGCTGTAGTGACTTTGCTTCTCTTAGAGAAGATGAAAATGGGCGTTGAAAGGGATCACTGAAGAAAAACTACCAAAGAAAATACACTGCACCAATTTCTGAATCATCCATAGATGAAAAGACAAATACCTGCAAACTCAGAAATGTCACCAATCACTGCCATGCTAATGCCAGGCGATGTGCATACAACAGCCAAGCTGATACAATGCACATTATACCAGTTTCTGCTTTTATTGACAATGAATGTAAACACGGCTCTGTGGGTGAGACCAACCACGTCCCTGAACTTGTACAGTGCCAAGCAGTTTGAGAAACGGCTGCTCATATAGGATTAGTCTGTGTGTACAATAATGTCTCTCTGATACACTGAAGTCACATTTATAGTTTATTTTGTAGTAACATTGTTGGCTTCGACCCTTCTGGTTTACCACCACAGCAGCTGGAAGTAATCGTTGCTACAGGTGCCAGCCTTATGTACATGCAATGTCCTAGCTGCAGTGACAAGCTGTGCTGCTGTGGCACTGCTATGTGCTGCAGTACCTCACTCACCTTTGCATTTATATGGATACATTAGAATTATTCAATTTTCATACTGATTTACCATAGTTACTGACTCTGGTAAGAAGAAGAAAACATGCTGCATGGGTTTTGTGAGCACATAGGCAACAGAAAAAATAGGCTTGTTCTGAAAGAAGTGCCACCTGGAGTGCACCCTCAGCAGGTCTGCTGATGACACCAAATTGTATGGTGTAGTTGACATGCTGGAGGGAAGGGATGCAGGCTGGAGAGGTGGGCTCATGTGAACCTCATGAAGTTCAACAAGGACAAGGTTCTGCATCTGGGTAGGGGCAATGCCAAGCACAGGTACAGGCTGGGCTTGAGAGCAGCCCTGCAGAGAAGGACTTGGGGGTGCTGGTTGATGTAAGCTGGACATGAGCGGGCTTTGGTGTGTGCTCACAGCCCAGAAACCCAACCGTGTCTTGGGCTGCATCAGAAGGAGCATGACCAGCAGATGGAGGGAGGCGATCCTGCTCCTCTCATGAGACCCCATCTGCAGCACTGCGTCCAGCTCCGGGGCCCTCAACCTAAGAATAACTTGGACATGTTGGAGCGCGTCTAGAGAAGTGCCACAAAGATGATCAGAGGTTGGAGCACCTTTCCTATGGAGACAGGCTGAGAGAGTTAGGCTTGTTCAGCCTGGAGAAGACTCCGGGGAGACATTAGAGCAGGATTCCAGAACCTAAAACCCGGCTCCACTGGGGCTAGGCTGAGCCGGTACTGCCTCGGCCCGCAGGAGGGCACCGGGGAGACTCCACCTCCCGCGGGCCCGCCCGCGCCGCTTTTCTAACCGCGTCCCGTGCCGTAAGCCATGAAATCAACTGGCGCCGATCACAGCGTCACCCGCGTGCTCTGCCGCGTGCCGGAGGCGGAAGTGAGGAGCCGCGGCGGGGGCACGTGTTCAGCGATGGCGTTCTACTAGCGGCGTCGGCGGCAGCAGCAGCGGTTTCGCTCCTTCCCCCCTTCCGTCGGTCGGGACCAGGTGGCGCGGCCATGGCCAAGGGTCAGGCGGCTGTGACCGCGGCTGTGAGCGGCGGGAGGCGGGCGCTGCTGCTGCTGCCGTTGCGACCGCGCGGCGTCCGGAGCGCCGCCTCACGTGACTGCCGAGCGCCCCCGTTCCCGGTGTACCGCTGCCTTGGTGACTGGCAGCGCCTGGCCGTTTCTGTCGCTCACGGGAGCGCAGGGCGGGGAAGGCGCGCCGGTGGGACCGGTGGGGAGAGCCGCTGCGGGGAGCGCGGTGAGAGCTTGGGGCGGCGGGGGGGAAGCGGGTGCCCCGTCAGCTCATCCCAGCGCGGTAGTCCGGTGGCATGGAGAGGAAGGGGGGCGCTGCGGGCAGAGGCTGCTTTGGGGTCCCTCGGAGGGGTCGTTATTGGGGCTGGGTCATCTTCCCCAAAGGGTAGACTTGATTCTTCTTTCTCGATCTTTAAAACAGCTAGCGCACTGCCGTATGTTCTCTCCATGTGTTTTAAAATAGAATGACTTTGAGGACAGAGTTCTGCCTCCTGACAGTTCACCTCGTGTTCCGACTTGCTTTCTTTTTGTCAGCTAGTTTATGCTAATACCCAAGTGGAAACTGTGCTGGGAGGTTTGCTTTCACTGTGAAAGTATTGTCTGTAAAAATAGTAAATATCAAATTGTGAGGGATTGCCTTTTTTCTAACGGGGGCAGATAATGAAGACTTTTAACAAAGAGTAGCAAGAGTCTGAGGATTTACTTCTTAGAGCCCTGCACTGCTCACAGCATCCACTGATTATGATAAGGAACAATCACTGATTATGATAAAGGAACAGTTTTAAGATCTTGACCCTTGGTGGGATTTTCAAGGACATGATATTCTTGGAGAGCATCTCAGAAGTGCAGCCGTAGTGTTGTAGTGTGTTTTCAAGCTCTTGAACATAGAGCTTCTTAGTCAGATACTTTTGTTTCAGGCAAGCTGTTGTAACCTCAAAGCACAATCTAATATTTTTTCATAAATGGAGAATATTTGGTGTAGTAAGAAAACTCCTGGGAAGCAAACAGATTGATTAATATACTTTCCTAAAACTAACCTACATTTTGGTTTTGTCTTTGTTTTGTTTTTTCCTCCAGGTGTTAGCATCTCTGCATCACCATCTTTACAAAGCAGAGGGGATGTTTCCTTTTTGGGAAATAGGAGGCTTTTTTTTGACACTCATGCACTGGTATGCCTCTTGGAACAAAATGGTAATTTGCTAGAAATGGGGTAGCTATTTTCAATGTCATTTCGTGAGTGGTTCTAAAAAGCCACTTTTACAAAGGTTGTTACTTACTTTTCTTTGATGTGATGTTACAGCTTCAGTTTTACGGATTCCTTTCTACTTCCAAAAGGAAACAGCTTATGAAACTTCATTGTCCTTAATTATGAAATTTATTATCCTACTTGTAATTGAAAATGTGAAAGAGAAATGAATTTTTAATGGTTGAGAGTAAAAACAGTTTTCAAGGTAGTGGTTTAACATGTATTAATTGTATTCTTGTGTATTTAGTATATAGCACCTTGAATATGCAACAGTGTCTTATAATAGGATTGAATATGGACTACTATATAAAATACAGCTTTTAGGATAGAAATAGAATACTATAAAATATGGCTGCTGTTATGCTAAAACATAGATAAAGGAATAGATTATTTTGGATTTGTGCTAATGTTGCTGAGGTGGGGAAGGTACCTGAAGGAGAAGTTATGTACTGCTGAATTGGATTTTAACAGCTCTTCATCCCTGAAAAGGAGAAGTCTCCATCCCTTTTCCCTGCCATGTAGTTTCATCTCTTCCTGGGGCCAACCTAATTCTCAGAAAACCCTGCAGCTCTTTTGCTTGATTGGTATTCTGAGATGCCATCTGAGATGCCACTTTAATGAGCCCACTGAGCAGTTGTGTGAACACCGGCACACATATAAAGTGTCAGAGGAGGAATAAGGACAATGAGAAAGTCGGGATACCTTCCTTTTGGTGGTGACAAACTATTTTATTAGCTCAGCTATTGAAAGCAACTCACTCTCAGATCCCAGTGCTTTCTGATGCTTAACTGCTGTTCAGTTTGAAACAGTCACACTTTTGCAGGTGTCCCTTTTCATAATTAAATCTTACTCATGGCATTTTTACTTCTGTATTTTGTAAGTGGAAAAGTTGAGGGTATTTCTAGGGTGATGTTTTACAATAGTTTCCAATATATTCAGTTTAAAAGGTCTCTAATGGGAACTAAGAAGCTGGTAGGCCTAAAATTAGAGCAGTTAGCTCTGTTTTCAGTTGTTGAGTTTTGCACATCTTCAGCAGTACTGAAGATGTATAGTACAGTATACTGAAAATAAGTATAGTATACTGAAAATAAGTATGTGCTTTTCAGGGTCAGAATTCTTGTTCATAGAAATAACCACATGTGCGAGATGGCAATCCATAATATTTCCAGGAAATTTCCATCATTCAACCTGCTGATACTGTAATAGTACTGTACTACAGAAGCAGCTATACTGTGTCACTGACATAATTATTGGGTGGAGGAACTTGGATGTATGGACTCATGGTCTTTTGTTAGTGTTGAATCAAAAGGAGTTTGTTTTATTATCTGACATTTGTTTAAACTTGATGCTGAATATTAATAAGTGGTGTTTCTGTAAACTGTCCAGATTTAGATCTCTCTCTGAATGCTGTTGCATTTCATTTTGCTTAGGGTTCACTACTCAGCAGTCGGAGGTCATTGTATCTGCATTAGTGAAAATTATGAACAACAACCTGGATATGATTTACAAGGATATGGTCACCAAAGTACAGCAGGTTAGATCAGAGATAACAATGGGATTAAAGTAAATAAAAACCTTGTATGCCTGCTAATGAAATACATATTGCTATTTATTACTACTGGACACTGTATTTTAAAGGTTTGAAGGTGAAGAACAAACATCCCTATGTATCTGTTGGCTACTTAATTACTTCTTGAGTTTATCAGACACCAAAGTGTTGTGGTGGACCTTGAGATCTAGGTACTGTGAGTTGGTATGCAAACCGCTGGTAGTTGTTTAATTACAGCCCTGTTGTAGCATGAAATAGAATTACTGAGAAGGCTTTCAGATAGACATAGTAGGTATTCAGTGGGTGGATTTGAATCAGGTCAGTTCATACAAAGGTAGATCCAGGTAAGGAACTGGGCGTGACAGTGTTGAATATTACTACATCAAGCTTTTAGACGTCTGGCTCCAGAAATGAACTGAAATTCAGATTATGACATTATTTGCTGCATGTAGAACTTGTGCATCTTTTAATGGGATTCACGGAGTCTGGTGTGCTGGAATTCCCCGACATATCAGTTGGTCAAATAGACAATGCTGATAAGAAGCATAGCTGAACTACAACTTCTTGGGCTGTTCTGTGAGGTTGGGGTTCAGAGCCCCAAGGCACCTACTGAACACACGCTTTAACTTATAGTAACTAGGCTGCTCTCTTAAAACGTGAGACAAACAGGAGCTGCTGTCTTTGTAGTATGATAGCCTTGGCAGCTCTACATGCCATGAAGTGGGATACCTGGGTTTTGCACCATCTTCCATCTATGGAGGTTTCAGCCTGTCCTTCCTAGCTTTTAGGTTCCAGGTAAAGCAGACATGAGGGTACTCCTTCCTCCTGTGCTGAATTTGTTCTGCAGTCAGGGAATACAGTGTTAAAGCCACGCTCTCTACCATGCTTGTTTGTTTGTATGTTACAGTAAACAGTCTGCAGTAAATAATCTCAACCTCCTTCTATGACCAGCTTTTTTGAATGAAAGTGAAACATTTTGGTTTGTGCTAAATTAAATGTTGCTACAGGTGGTAGATGTTTTCTGAGACTGTTAGGTTCCATCCATGGGTGACTTTCTACCATTAAGATTAAAATGTGCAGATTTGCATGGCATGCTGAGATAGAAGCAGCTCAAGAGGTATGTATGCCATGAACTCTGTCTGGGCAACGTAAGCCCATACTTCCTTACAGTCTTTGAATGCACAATGGCTTGTGCAAAAAGAGAATGAAGAATTGGTAGAAGGTTTGGAACATTGTAGATGTAGCTTATTACCATTAAGCTATAGTTGGGTATGTAAAAGATAAAATATTACACCGGTCAGACAAAACCTTAAGGAAAAATAAATGCGTGTGTACAGAGATGAGGAAGAGAAAGAATAGGAAAGATTTGTTCTCTGTTTTCTCAGCTCACTGAAGAGGGGAGAGAACAAAAGCAAGCTGGAGGCAGGGAGTAAGAGAAGAGGTGTGGCCATGGCAGCAGTCTTTCTGTAGTTTTTGTAATACGTCCGGTGCACTGTCCCATTTTTTTCAGTCTTGTGGTCAGGTAGCCTAGTGAGGCACCTTGAGATGCCACTTAGAAATACAATGCTGCAAATTAGAATAGCATTTCCTGACAGAAGTGAAGTTAAAGTGCTGTGCCAGATTTGTACGGTTCTTAGTCCAGAATCAAAAGCAAGAAACTACTTATTAGAGTGAGATCTTCAGAGAAAATAAAGGAGGCCTGTTTGCATATATAGCTAGTGTAGGATGTAGAAAAATGCCTACGTCCTTTTCCATCCGTGAAAGTTTCAGAGGATTTGTGTTTGTCTTCTGTCAGCTCAGTGTAACAAACTGAGCAGAGCAATTAAAAGTATGAGTAATTGTGTGTGATACTGCATAGCGAAGCAAAAGTGACACCTCCCTTGCAAGAGAGGGGTAAAGAAGGGAGGTAGTTACAAAAAAGTATGGTTGTACTGGGAGTTTTGGTCTGAAAGCCAGATTTCCTCATTTAGCTGAGAGACAACTATTTATGCCCTAAGGCCTTTGCTAGCTTACGAATTTGAAGACTTGGAAGAAACTATTTCCTAGGCTATTAATTGAATTATTCCGATCTGTGTTAGCACTGCTAATTTTGTCAAATGTTACCAGCGTTTGAAATTAACTTGCTTATTTTGTCCCTGTCAGTTGATCTTGCTTTCTGAAACTCAGACAATGAAATTGCTGAATTAAAAGTTTCAGGGTACCAAAATAGTCTATCATATTTGTAGGTACAGATGAGAAAAAGCATTATAGGTATTATATGTTCTCAGGTTTTTCTTCCTTCTTTTAAAGGAAATTGCTCTTCAGCAAGTAATGTCCCATATTGGTGGCGTGAAAAAGGACATGATTATCTTGGAAAAAAGTGAATTTTCAGCACTTCGTTCAGAAAATGAGGTAAAAATCCCTATATTGAAAAGTGCTATTCTAGCGCTTGCTTATTTTTTCTAATGATGTAAAAAAGCATCTTGTATCCAAGGGGTTGGCTCTGGGGCCACTGTGGCTTAACACCTTCATTAATGACTTTGTTAGTGGGGCAGAACACGCCCTCAGCTTATTTTTTCCAATGATGTAAAAAAGCTTCTTGTACTCAAAGGGTTGGCTCTGGGGTCACTGTGGCTTAGCACCTTCATTAGTGACCTTATTGATGGGGCAGAGTACACAGTCAGCATGTCTTACAGATGATACAAAGCTGGGAGCAGTGGCTAATATACCAGGCAGTTGTGCTGCTATTCAGAGGGGCATGAACAAGCTGGGGAGGTGGGATGACAGGAATTTCATGAAGTTCAGCAAGTGGAAATGCCAAGTCCTGCACTGGAACATCCCTAAACACCAGTACAGGCTGGTTCTGACCAGCTGAAAAGCAGCTTGTCAGAAGAAGCCCTGAGGGTCCTGGTGAGCACCAAGTTGACCATGAGCCAGCAATGAGCCTTTGGGGCAAAGGTGGCCAACAGCCTCCTGGGTTGTGTTAGGAGGACTGCCAGTGATTCAAGGGAGGTGATCCCATCTGCCTGGCTGTGGTGAGACTTCATCTGGAGTGCTGGATCTAGTTCTGGGCTCTCCAGTGCAAGGAGACATGGCTGTGATTCTGGACAGAATCAGACAAATGGCTGGAGAGATCAGTAAGGGACTGGAGTATCTGACATATTGTAATAGACTGTGAAAGCCTAGAAGAGAAGGCTCAGGGGGGAATCTCGTTAATGCGTAAAAATATTTGAAGGGAGGGTACAATGTAGATGGAGACAGGCTCTTTCCAGTGTTGTCCAAAGACACACAGTAGGTAACTAGTACAGATCAAAATATGGAAAATTCTGTTTAAACATAAGAAAAACCTTTTTACTCTAAGGGTGGTAGAACTCTGGAATAGGACAGTGTCTGTGCACATACTGAGGACATAGAGTTAAACCACACTTTTCACTTTACAGTTTATGGTCAATGTTGCTGATTGTGCAGCTTCATTAGTACTTCTAGATTATGGGGCTTTATGTACAGTAATAAAGTGTACTTTTCTTTTTTTTCTTTTTCTGCTCTCCCAGAAAATAAAACTTGAGCTCCAGCAGATAAAGAAGGAAGTCATGGTAAGATACCATACTAACAGAATCAAGAATTAACATAATTAGTCTAGTCTGGGTAAAAAAAAATGAGTGAAATATTGTTGCTTTCAAGATTTTTATTTTAAAAGGTATGCTTACTTGTGATATACAGGATACTGAAATTGCGGTTGGTGGTACACTGTGGAGGGCAGTAAAGAGAGTTTCATGCACATTTCAGTTATGGTGACAGAACTGTGAGCGGTACAAGAGGTGAAGAAAAATTTAACTGAATATTTTTTACTCGCATGTCCTTAATTCAGATTCAGAAAGTGGCTGCCATGTCACGCTTCAGGCTGAGTGAAGTTCTGCATTTAGGGCTGCCTGTTACATGTAAAGATATGACATGCTTTTAAAATTACAGCACTTAATACTTGGTTTGGGTTGGAGTTTTAGGTTACTTTTTTTTCTTGTTTATGTGCTTGGGGTCGTTGGTATTTGTTTATTGGTTTGTTTGATTGATTCTCTGAAAACTTACCTGTTAGCTGTCCAGAACTTAATTTTAAATGGCTTCTTTAGGGCACTAAGTTTGGTCCCATTTGTTTGAGAACAAATGACTACTGCAAAAAAACAGACTCTGTAGAAAACTTAAATCTATTAAGGATAAGAATTTAAGTGTCAGTACTATGTTTATGTTCTTTATGGTTTACCTGTCTTGAGTAGCACTCCAAACTTTTTAGTGTCAGAACAAGATCATCATAACATCTGTTATTTCAATGGGTGTGGAGTCATAAGCAGCCTTTACACAGAAATAAACATTCTTGGAAGTTGAAAATTGGAAACTGGGAAACATTAAATGTTTTTATGGACTTGAGAGCTGCTTTTCCCCACTGAGATGTCCTTATTAGTTGGAAGGGTGGAGCACTTTTCCTTCCCTAGGATTTGACTAAACTATCAGACTTGGATGTGTTGAGCTAACTGACAATGTGGTTGAATTCAGCCTAGTGTCCCTTTGCCATTTCTTTCCTATTTTCTTTCTAATTTCCTTTTGCCCTGTCATCTCCCAGATTAGCACATAAATATCTCAGGGCTAATCCTGCATGTTTCATAGTGTGCTATGAAGTGCTTAATGCATCTGAGTTTTCAGAATACCATTTTAAAATACATCCAGCATCTCATTTTTGAATTGTAACTTATTTCATGGTTTTAGGTGCACATAAATGAGTTAGTGTAATCCACTATAGAGCATCAAGGATTTGAGTCATCTTTTCTTAAAAGCTTAGATGTCTTTAAATTTTACTTTTAACTGTAAATATAATTCTCACAAGGCCAAGTGAGTTTATGTTTGCTCATACTTGTTCCTGTAAAAGACAAAAAGACACAATGTTGTAAAAGTTTAAGAAAAAACTTTCTGATTTTTACTTCATTAAGCTGTAACATATCATGTTGTAATGATGTCCAGTTATAAACCAGTTGAAGTTCAAAAATTCAGATATAGAAATTGAATGTGGTTATTGGTCAGACTTAAGTTAATGAACTTTTGACTAGTTGCTGTTGGCCTGCTTGAGAGATGCTTACCTGGTTTGAATGGTAGAATCTCCCAGAACATCAGCTATCTTTTGCTTCTCCCACACATTCATCTGATCAGCAGTTTGCCGCATGACAAACTGTCAGCTGTCTGGAATTCCTGCCAGGAGGTTGTGTTAAAATGGCAGCTGTCACTGAGAAAAGCAGGAATCACAGCTATAGATGAAGTAAAATGCAAGTGAACAATTTATGGTAGTTTTAAAACGTTAGATGTTAAAAAACGTAATAAATATTTCCTGGCTTCTAAAATGTCTGCAGCTTTTTCTGAAAGCCCTAGATGCAGTCTTTAGAAACAGGAGGGTTTTTTGCATTGGAAGGTTGGAAATTGCTTTAAAGCTATTTTGAGCATCAAGGTTGCTTCATGGAGGAAGCCCAACTTACAGGTAGTACCTAGGCATGGGTTCCTAGAAATCAGAGTGAGTTACACGATGTATGAAATATCCCCACTATTTGTAGAAGGATGTGCTCTCAATTAAGTTCTGTTCTCAGTGTTCTGGTTTTAGAAGTAATTGTTCTGTTTTGATTCCAAGATTCAGTTCATACTATAGAGCATGCACATTTCCTGGGGAAGAACAGCAATGCTTATATTTTTGAAAATTATGTACGTTAATTGGAGAAAAGTTTTGATTTGTGAAGAAAAGCACAATATATCTATGATATAATCTATGATTCTGTTCTGTGATTCTTTGTCTAATTCTTTCTGCTTATGATTAAATAGAAAATCTTGATAGCTGTTTTATCATTTTTTGCCCATCAGGATGAAATTTCCAAAGTTCGTGCTGATAACAAGTTAAACCTAAACCTAGAGAAGACCAGAGTAAAAGAATTGGTAAGTTTTGCTTTTAGAAACCTCTCAACACTGAGTAATAGCCAAATTTGGCTAAGAGCATCTTACCCAAAGGGTGTTTTCATACTAATCCAAGTGCTTCAAGGTGGTATTAATCCAGGTTACTCATCCTTGTACTGCTATAACGCAAGGTGCCATGTTTAGTTTTGTATCCCTGTCTATTTTGATATTGTTTTAATGTCAGGATTAAATCACTACATTTAATATATTAGATATTTAATCTAAATATGCTGACTGGCTGCCTAGAGGTTTTCTGTGTTATTAGTAGATCTCTTTATTTTCACACTTTATTAAGTTCATGCATTTCATTAAATTTATCATCAGTGAAGATGTTTCATTTCCTATAGATAGAGAATGTATAGCTGGGCTGGTGTGTAAGGAAATACATATTGTGAAAATAGTTGTCATTTATTTTTATTTTGCTGAAATTCTAGCTGCTCGTGGTTCAGATTGTTTGAAGTTTGAAATATCTGGTAGAACTGGATTGATGGGATCTTAAATTAGGTTAACATAGATGAAGAATTAGAAGATTAACAAGTCTTTGCATTAAATGTAGCATTCTAAATAGAGTGCTCTTCTTACAGATATATTTTTTTAGTAGCTTTTAGGATCTTAAAGAAATTGCATCTTCTAAACTGAAAGATGTTTTAATTATATTTTTCCATTAATATAATTTCTTATTGAGTCCATTTTCCCAGGTGTGTAATGAAGGAGTAATATTTATCTCCAATCCAGGCAATAAGTACTGTTCAAGTAGATGTTATTTACCTTCTGTATGCGCCACTTGAAGCTTTTCATAAAGATTAGTTTAGGTAGCAGCTGTGTCAGTGATTTAATATAATGACTAACAGTCTTGTTATCCCGTAGTAGATGTTTGAATAAAGTACAATTTGAGTGGGTAAAGTTCTTGTTCAAAGGTTAATACTTCATGTTTAAAAAAAGAATCGTATGTAATGTGTAACTGTGTAGATCGTAAGCTTTGCAGTGTTTCGGGCTTACAAAACTGATAAAACTGATTTAAAAACCACTGCAACAGTGATTAATTAGACACTAATGTTTTCTTGTGTATTTATGTAGGATTCTGGAAGCTACAGTCTGTCTATTGTGAAGAACACTGTGTCTTTGAGCGATGTGGTCTAGTGGAAGGTGTCCCTGCCCATGGCAGGGGAGTTGGAACTAGATGATCTTTTGAGGTCCCTTCCAGCTCAAACCATTCTGTGATTCTATGATTTTGACTGCCTCCCAGGAAAAACAAACTATGCAAACCAGCACCTATAATAAATGCTCAGAGCAATGTAGAGATATTCCAGCTGCTCCAGCCAATGAGCTGGCTTCATTTGGAGCTCAGCTCAGATGCCTCTATACAAATGGCCATAGCATGGGTAACAAACAAGAGGAATTAGAGATGTGTGCTCATCTACGGGGGTATGACATTATAGGTATTGCAGAAACATGGTGGGATGGCTCCTATGACTGGAGTGTTGGAATGGAAGGTTACAGACTCTTTAGAAAAGACAGGCCTGGCAGGTGGGGAGGGGGAGTTGCCCTTTATGTTAGGGATAAGCTGGAGAGTATGGAACTCTGTCTGGGGACAGGTGAGCAGTTAACAGACAGTTTGTGGGTCAGGGTTAAAGGGAAAACAGCGATGGGAGACATTACTGTGGGGATATGTTATAGACCACCTGATCAAGAGGAATCTGAGGATGAAGCACTCTATAGGCAGATAGGAAAAGCCTCACGCTCACAGGCCCTCGTTCTCATGGGTGACTTCAACCACCCTGACATCTGTTGGAATGACGGTATGGCCCGGCACAAGCAATCCAGGAGGTTCCTGGAAGAGCAGACTTTGGGCCCACCGTAGGAGACCATCTTAAAAATCTGAATGTGCACAAGCCCATGGGTCCTGATGAAATCCATCCGTGGGTCCTGAAGGAGCTGGCGAATGAAGTTGCTAAGCCGCTGGCCATCATATTTGAAAAATCATGGCAGTCAGGTGAAGTTCCCAATGGAAAAAGGGAAATATAACCCCCATTTTCAAGAAGGGGAAAATGGATGACCCGGGGAATTACAGACCAGTCAGTGTCACCTCTGTGCCTGGCAAAATCTTGGAGCAGATTCTCCTGGAAGGCATGCTAAGGCACATGAGAAACAACAAGGTGCTTGGTGACAGCCAGCATGGCTTCACTAAGGGGAAATCCTGCCTGATCAATTTGGTGGCCTTCTATGATGGGGCTACAGAACTGATGGACAGGGGTAGAGCAGTTGATGTCATCTACCTGGATTTGTGGAAAGCGTTTGACACTGTCCCACACGACATCCTTGTCTCTAAATTGGAGAGACATCAATTTGATGGATGGACCACTCGGTGGATAAAGAACTGGCTGGATGGCCACACGAAAGAGTTGTGGTCAATGGCTCAATGTCCGGCTGGAGACCAGTACCGACTGGTGTCCCTCAGAGATCGGTGTTGGGACCGGTCTTGTTCAACATCTTTGTTGCTGACATGGACAGTGGGGTTGAGTGTGCCCTCAGCAAGTTTGCTGATGACACCAAGCTGTGTGGTTCAGTTGATATGCTGGAGGGAAGGAATGCCATCCAGAGGGACCTTGACACGCTTGTGAGGTGGGCTGATGCCAACCTCATGAAGTTTAACCATGACAAGTGCAAGGTCCTACACCTGGGTTGGAGCAATCCCAGGCACAGCTACAGGCTGGGCAGAGAAGAGATTCAGAGCAGCCCTGCGGAGAAGGACTTGGGGGTGCTGGTCGATGAGAAACTGAACATGAGCCAGCTTCAGTGTGCGCTTGCAGCCCAGAAAGCCAACCGTATCCTGGGCTGCATCAAAAGGAGCCTGACCAGCAGATCAAAGGAGGTGATCCTGCCCCTTTATTCTGCACTTGTGAGACCTCACTTGGAGTATTGTGTGCAGTTCTGGTGTCCTCAACATAAAAAGGACATGGAACTGTTGGAACAAGTCCAGAGGAGGGCCACGAGGATGATCAGGGGACTGGAGCACCTCCCATATGAAGATAGGCCGAGAAAGTTGGGGCTGTTCAGCCTGGAGAAGAGAAGGCTGCGTGGAGACCTCATAGCAGATTTCCAGTATCTGAAGAGGGCCTATAGGGATGCTGGGATTGGACTCTTCATTAGGGACTGTAATGATAGGACAAGGGGTAATGGGTTAAAACTTAAACAGGAGAGGTTTAGATTGGATATAAGGAGGAAATTCTTTCCTGTAAGGGTGGTGAGGCACTGGAATAGATTACCCAAAGAGGTTGTGAATGCTCCATCCCTGGCAGTGTTCAAGGCCAGGTTGGACGAGGCCTTGGGTGATACAGTTTAGAGCGAGGTGTCCCTGCCCATGGCAGGGGGGTTGGAACTTGATGATCTTAAGGTCCTTTCCAACCCTAACTATTCTATGATTCTGTGACCTTCTCTTAAGAAACTTAACCAACTTTGTAGTCTGTTGTACAACTATATTTTCATACTTTCTCTGAAAACGGCTCTTTTTTTTTCCTTTCCCCTCCCCTCTTCCCACACTTCAGTTGTCGCCTCTGCCATGCATGAACAGAAAAAGACAGATGAATGGGGAATGGGTTGTTTTAAAACCATACTCCCCTTCCTGAAGAAAGCAGATGGTTAATTGTGCTCAATGGATTAGTTAACTGTTTCAGAGTTACTGTTTAGAATCATAGGTCTTTGTTTTTCAGAAATGCAGATCTGCCAACTTTTATTCCAGCTGCTTATTAATACATACAGCTTTTGCAGAAGCAAAGTATCTGATGGACTTACTGCGCTTCACAGTTCAGAGGTGTGGATGAACACCTGTCTAAATTGTGCTTTTCCAAAGGACAGCAGTTACCTTACAATACTCTCTCCCAAGCATTGTCAAGACAATAATCTATCTCTTCCATATTCAGTGTTCCACAGAATTTGAAGCAAAGCAATATGCTTTTAAGTGTGGGGCATAAAGTTTAACGACATTGTCATGAATATCATGTTTATCTTTTTTGTGTGTGTGTGTGTTTTGTTTTTCTTCTCTCTAGTACTCACGTAATGAAAGAAAACTGCTTGAAATGAGGACAGAAATAGTGGAATTGGTAAGAACTTGGTAGCTGATTATTACACAGCAATTCTTTCTGTACTTGTGTTATAGACTTGGCATTCTTTTTTTGGAGTTGTTCATGTCTTTAGGCACTTTAATATACAAAATGTCATTGTGCTTTATTTCCCTGTGTATTTTCAGACTGGTACAGGTAACTGAAGTGTCTACAAAAAAAGGCTTTCATCTATATTTTTAGACCTTCTGCATATATATACAAACCGCTCAGTAATTAGATTGTCTAGGAACAAACCTGTATTTTTTGAATGCAAATTAATATACATTTTAGGAGGAAACAAAAATACAACTTGAAGAGTTGAGTTAAACTTCTAACTAAACTAGAAACTGTTGGAATTGCACTGCTTTGTTGATCTATATTTTAGCATGCACAACAAGATCGAGCTCTGACCCAAACAGACAGAAAAATAGACACAGAAGTTGCAGATCTGAAAACAATGCTGGAAACGCACAAACTTGATAATATTAAGTACTTAGCAGGTAAGGAATCTGACAGTTGTTTCTGATGGTGAAACTATTAAACATTGTTAAATGTTTGGTAAACTCTTGATTGACTATATTCATAAAGGCCCTGATTAAAAAAAAAAAAAAGATTTGAAATGGTCAAGATTAGCAGCCTTAGTTGTGTACTTAAGCCAAAGTTTCCCATGATTTGCAACTTTATTTCCATGGGCTATGGCTGATTTTTTTGTTTCCCCCCCTGCTTTATATTGTTAGAATAATGTATATGGGGAATCTGAAAGACTGCCTGGTAAACAAGGGCAAAAAAGTTTTTCTGTGCCAGGCTTAACTGAAAAAAGCAGCCTGATGCATTTCTAAGATCTCTTCGTCTGTCTGATGGAGATCTATATGAAAGATGGAACATTTCAGCTTTTCTGACTGTTCACTGCCACATACTCTTTAAACTCTCATGTTTCAGGCCATGTGCATTAGAAAAATACTATATATGTGCATGCAGGCCTACACTATTGCCCTACATAACTTGAGTATTTTGACATTTTGCTACTGAGCGTGCAGTGCTATTAACGAGCAGGTTTGCGGTAGAAAATTACTGATTTTTGGATTATTCTTTCACAGTGGATTTTGTTGCAAGTACAGTCACATCTACTCACAGTACTGTACTGCAGGCATATCCTTTAGGGAGAACCATTACTGGAAAATAAAAGGCACTTCATTAAAATGAGAGGAAATTGTTTTCCCCACCATCCCTACTCCAAAACAAAATTGCATTGTGTTTGAAGTGCTCCTTTTGCAAATAATGGCAAAACTCTTTTGTGTGTATATCCAGAAATCAAAAGTCAGTATCATTTCAATAGAAATTCTTAAAAATTGCAAACTGCAAAGCCTTGTTAAAGAGAGCTTTTTCATTTATTTGTTGGCTGAATGTTTGACTGTGATTTAATAATCCTGTTACCCATTTCCTCCCTTTACAACTGTAACTTGCCACATTGAGCTTTTGGTAAGCAACTAGGGATTTCTTTCAGCTTATTGCTACTTTTCTAGCCCAGTTTTCCTGCATTTTTTTTTCTTTTTATTTGTCATTTTTGTGCCACTTCACTGTGAATTGTTTGGTTTTAAATTAAAAACCTTATTTTCTTACATGGAGAAGGGGTGGTGGTTACACTTCTAGTATTGAAGCAAGATGTGTACATAGCTCTCAGAGCATTTCTTTAGAAAGCTAATGATTTAATGTCTCCATTTCTCCTCCATTTTTATCTTTGTTCAGGTTCAGTATTTACATGCCTTACAGTAGCACTGGGATTTTACCGTTTGTGGAGATAATAAAACATGAATGTAAAGGGACTTTACTGTCTTCATTTCTGGGTAGAAGAGAAAAAGGAGTTTCATCTTTACCTGGACTTCAACCAAATCTTGACTGTTTTATTTATTTTGTAAAGCAGACTGCATAGAGAATGTAACCAAAGATGTGCCTAGAAACAAACTGTACACATACTGTGCGTATTTTGAAACTTACTTCTGCTCAAAGCATAGTATATGCGTTTCTGCCATTTCCCTCCACTCAGAACTGCAGTGTGTGCACCTTGCTGCTGCTGAGTGTCATCAAAGCAGAGACTGGCATTCACACTGATCATCTGGGGCTGCCTGCTCTAGAGAAGACTGTGTGGGATTACGTTCTGCGACCTGTTCAGACCTGCTCACTGAAGTCAGTTGTATGTATCAGACTGAAGTCCTGACTGTTAATGTAAAGCTGAAACTACATGTTTTGTGGCTTGGAGGCACTCTTGTATAATTTGTGTTAGCTGAATCATGCTTACCTCCCTCCTTATAACACTTGTTCATACAGTTACTATGATCAAATATTTGTTTTGCTATTTTTATAACATTATAGTTATTAGCTTGTTTTCCAGATGGCTATCCAATCAGTCATGTTTTATGACAAGAGTACTGTGTAGTGATAGCAGTGTTTGCTGCTGGTTTTGTTTGTAATATATTTGTAGAGGTTTTTGTGACTAACTTGCTTTTGATACATGCAAGTATCTGATACTCATTCCATATGCTAATTGTTATCTTTACCACTGTAACTGGAAATTTGCAATGCAGTAAAATACACTAGTTGTATTAATTTACAGTTTAGTGATAGAAAGTGTCTCTGGTGCTGCCTTCTTGGAAGGGAATTGATTCTTCTAGAAAAGAAAGAGATTTTAAATGGTGGTTATGAAACAGGGTCTTTGGCAAGGGAACTGCAATGCTGACAGTCTTCTGGGTTTTTTGCTTTTACATAAAAAAATAAAGAAAAAAAAGAAAAATCCTGTTAGTTCTTCAAACTTTGATAGTGATTTTATTAATGAAAGCAGTAACTGAGACCTGCGAGGATGTTAAATCCAGTTCTGAGTAAGCCCATGTGAACTGGTAAGTGCAACTGAAGGCAATGAAGGAAGGTGCCTAGTGTATCCCGTTATCTGCCATTCATCCACTGATGAAGTGACTGCTTTAGTAGCAGAGCTGCCAAGTGTGTCCCTTCAGTTAAGGGAAATTTGCCCTTCTTGCTTGCTCTTAGGAGGAGAGAAGAATCTATGCATTGGTAATAAATGCTGTTAGAGCACAATCACAGCTTTGCTTAATGAAAGTAAAGCTGTTAGGCTACTTTGTGCCTGTACTGTAATAACCATTTAACTCTTGGTGATGGGGAGTGCCAGCTTCAATCATGTGCACGTGCAGAGGAAGCAATGGATGCCTGTAATTATACTGGCCTGAAATAAAGACTTTTTAATAATTCATAAGGTATGCTAAGTTTTCATCATAAACACAACTTTTAAATTTGAATTCAATCTCTTTGAAGGTAAGTCATTGCTAATAGCAATTCTTTTAAGCTAAGATTTAGCAAAGTCAGACCCCTCTTCAGTACTGACGCGGAAAGAAGGAAAACTTACTGCAGACAGCTGCCCCTCTGACTTGAATGAATCGATAATTCAAGATCTTTGCTTTTTTGTGTTTTAAAAGTATTTTTTGTACTAACTTCTAGAACTTGACACTTTCTCAAATTAGACAAGCACTAATTTGATGTTTGGAATTACTTCAGTGTTGGTTCTTGCCTTCCCATAGCAGGTGATTCTCCATTTGTCTGTGTAATCAGCACATCTTTGCCTGTATGCCAGAGCATCTGATAAGCAGTTGGTAAAATAACTATTGAGAACTAATTTTATATATAGGGTCTGTCCTGCCAAAAATAGTTAGTATGCAAATAAATTTCTTTTCAGGGCAGATGGAAGGAGGAAGTGAAAGATCATAGATTATAGAGCAGCACTGTCCTGAAATTAGCAAAGTGTGAGGCAAACCAGCGCTTCTTGGCGAGTGTTCTAACAAGGAACAAAGTTAATGGGTCCTTCAGGAAAAGGACACTATAAATAGAACATAAGTATTATTTCCTTTCCCATAAAGTTTTCAGGTGTGGTGTACAAGCTTGTTACTCCTTTGTGCACAAATGCGCAATCTCTTGCTTTCCCTCTTCAGTAAAAATCCATAAGGTAGCCATCTCCTTTTCACTGATGTATTATTAGATAAATTGTTTGCTTCAAGTTTTTTATTACTGTTCAGTCACACGCTGTCCAGCTCTGTCTATTGGAAGTGTTGGTGGCATCATTGATTTCCCAGAATGTTGTAGAGTTGTACTTAAAACCATGAGTTGACAAATGGAAACATTTTTAATGTAGGTATGAAGTCTGCTTCAGTTTCTCTAACCACAAAAGTTTTGGTTCACTAGAATAAACCTTACTCTAGTTGTGACTATTCACATAACTGACCTTGTCATAAACAGTGAAATCCTGGCTCTGTGCAGCTATTCACAGTTCCTACTGGCTTTGGAGAAGGCGTGCTTTTACATTCCAGATATTTTGAGTCATACCACTTCATGGACTCTTCTCTCATTCTTGCTACCATCTGTAGACCTTGCCCAGGAGAACTGGTGAAGATTTCTGTGTGTTGGGTTTTTCTTTTGTTTAGTTTGAGTTTTAATCAGCAAAGTTTGGTAAATTCCTCTGACCAGCCCATTTAAACTACTGGTTGCAAGGTGTGAGCAAGACTTAATCTTGCATCTCCTACTGAGTTTTCAGGAATCAAGTAACTGCCTTTATTATAATTTCTAAAATGATCAAAACTCGACAATATTTCACAAAACTGCTATGTAAAGTCTTTTAAAGGAATAAGTACACTGTAAAATAATTTTTTAATTTTTAATATATATGGAAAAGTTGTATTCAAATTATTTATTAGTTTAACAATGGTCTTTTAAATTGCTTTTACTTTAGCTATACGTATCTTGACTTTACAGTGCTTTTTGTTGGGGGGGGGATTGATGGGGTTTTGTGTTTTGGGGGGAGTTTTGAGGTATGTGTTTGGCTTTGGCGTTTTGGGGGGAGTTGTTTTGCGGTTTTTGTGGGGGGTTGGGGTTTTTTGTTTGATTTTGTTAGGGTTTTTTAGTTGTTTGTTTGGTTTTCTTTTTTGAGTAAAGCTTTCTGTGTAAGCAATTAACTTTCTTTAGCTTCTAAATAGAATGTGTGTCTGGAATATTGGTGTTCACTTTAATTGGCAACAAATGCATATGCTGTTGGAGACAGAGGGCCTGCTCTGCTTTTGTTAGGAAACCTTCCATTGGCTTAAAAGGTACTTACCCTATTGCAAAACATTTAAAAGCTGTAGTGTTGATTCTTTATTTTACACTTAAATTCTATGCCAGAGAAATTGCCTTAGTCTTAACATGTGGTTTTGTAACTAAAGATCACAGAAGGAAGATACCAGTGATTGCATAGCGTTCCTTTGAAATCTATCCATTCCAAGAAAGAAGATGCCATTTTGGGGGGAGGATGCCCCACTGCTATCAAAAAGAAAATACTAGAAATGAGCACTATGGTGACACTATAGTGGCTAATGTTTATGGCCAACATAGGTGTGTCAATGTGTTGTAAAGTTTCAAATGCCCTGGCTCCTTTCACTGTTCCAATACACACCCTATAAACTCTGAGCAGTTCATAAGGTTCTCCATTGCATTCTGAGATTATATTGCCTTGATTTGAGTCATGGCTGATACTATTCATGAATAGTCTCTTCTTGTTGCATGAGTAGAAGTGTAGTGAAGGGAAAAAGAAGGGTGGTGTGTATTTTGGGATTGGGTTTTGGGGTGGGTTTTTTTTTCCCCTCTGCAGGTAATGGCACATGTTCTGTGAGAATTTTAACCAGAACTGTATGGAGTATGAATATAATAATGGCATACTTGAAGCAGGAAACTGGATTTGGTCAAATTAAGCTTATATACAGGGCTCCAAGGTTTGTTTCAGAACTGATAGGGTAACAGTTATCTTGGCAGGGGCGCAAAGGGAAGAAGGTTTCTCAGCATGAAGGGAAAACTCAGAGTTTATACTGTTTATACCTGCGTCTCCAGCATGCTTTGGTCTTTTTCAGGTGTTAGAAAACTTGTCCTCTTCCATAGGACTGTCCACAATGCGTGTCAGTCCGTGAATAAACAGGTGTTAAATATGTCACTTTTGATCATGATTTTGTCCAGAGTAAGTTGTGTCACTCCTAGTCATTCTCCTGTCTTTACCTAGGATCTGTTTTCTTGTGGTAAAGGTGTACTAAACATTATATATTTACAAAGTTCTCCCAGTGATGCAACAGATTAATAAATACAAAGGCCAGTTCAGAAACCCCCTTTACTTACTACAGCCAGACCCAGATAGTGGCTGGAGGTTTTCATAATCTTTTATATCATGGCTTTCTGTTCTAATGCCTTGTGATTGACATGCAGAGTTCCCTTGTGTTTCTTAGATGCCAGCTAGGCTAAGGCACTAACTGCCACCTTGCCTGAGCTACTGAACTCTAACACTGAGCTTTTAAGACCAAATAAAGCTACAAGCATGAGCCTATACAAAAAAATTAACCACCAATGGTGCACAGATGAGACTGAGCATGTCTAGTGTGGATGCTGCATGTGGGTTTTATGTTTTTGTACAGTATTTTTATTTGATGTAGTTACTTTGTCTCGTGTGTTACTTTGCAGTACCATTCTGAAGGACTGGCTTCTGGGAAGCTTTTAAGAAGCAGCTCAAATTCTGTGGAAGTTGAGGGGGCTCACGCTTCCGAAAGTCCATAGGCAGATTCTTGCAGAGGTCTTATTAGTTTTGTTTCCTCTAAAAAAGTTACTTGTTTTAAAATTAAGGGGGCTTTTTAGAAGCTTCTGAGTGGTTTGTTCTTTGGAGTTTTGTTTTTAATCCTCCTAGCCACCTTCCATTCTGCAGCACCCTTCTCTATGTGAATGGTTTCATTTTGAATATTCTGATTTGGAGATACCCATGACCACAGCTCTCAAAAAGCTATGCTGAAGTATTTCTCTCTTTTTTTGCTGTTAAGTAAAAGCACATCCAAGACTTACAAAAATGTAACAGCACATTGTCTGCTAAGCTGTTAAACAGTTAATTTGACTTGTTTGAAACAGGGTCCACATTTGCCCTAAGGTGTCAAACCACGCCTGACAAGTGACAAATTTGGTGATTCATAAAGGGGGGGTTGGGAACATCTTAGGAAGCAAATCCTGTTTGATAAACAGTGGTGTAGTCATCAATAACAAAGCAAAAATACACTCCCCGTGAAAGGTGAATGTTTAATAGAAACCTTGTGTCCATTTACATAAATGCCAGTGTTTTGAGAGGTATTCTCTTCTTCGGCTGTTATCCAACAGGAAGAAAAATGTATGGTTCTGTATTTGGGCACTCCTAACTAGTTCTCCTTTGTGGTTCCTAACTTGAAATGTTCAATATGTAATTTAGTAAATGCACTTTAGATTCTTTTATATGCATTTGGAGTTTTAACATCATTTTCAAGTACCCCGCACTGCCCAAGCTTGTAGAGAGATTTAAAGGAGGGAAGGTCTGGTTTTCAGTTTGTTCTTAATCAGGGATTTAATGTATTTCTTAATGAAGTAGTGTTTAATGCATTAAAATATGACCAAAGGCTCTCTTGCAAGCCTTTACTTGTTCACGGAAGTTAAAGGCTTATTTATATGAAGGTTTCATGATTAGTGTTGATTGATGCTTTTTTAAAGTTTTTGTACAAATTGTATTTCAAGTAGCAATTTAAATATTTCTCTACACTCTTAGAACATCACCACATGCAGCAAAACCACAAGACCCTGAGGTACTCAAATATCCCTGAATAAAACAAGCCACAGGATCATGTATAAACAGATACAAATGCGGGGGAGCAGGGGGTGGGAATTGCAAGGTACTGGAAGTCTGTGTACTGTATAAATATCTGAGATACCAAATAGATAAGACTGTAGCAACAGTGAAAGAAAACATAAGCAAAGCCAGTTACTTCAGTCCATAAATGAAGGTTAAGGCATGCAGTTCCTCGCTGCTCTTGGACAAAACCCAGCAATAGCGACAGACGGCTGTTCCACAACTGCCTTTGCAGCATGTGGAGCTGCCTGTTCCTTTAACTGGTGGTTGCAGCGTGCTAATCCAGAAAATGGAGGCTTGCTTTCTGTGGTCCTGGGATGAAAAGCTTTATTGCAAATATGTGAAGTTTTATATAAGCTGCATTAGGCTTGGTGTGAAAATTGTAACTTAAAGGGCGGGGGGGGAGTTGGTTGATTGATTTTCAGATCTTTTATCTATATTGCTCTAGTGTACTGCGTTTGAGTCCCAACTGCAAACTACCAAAGGATGATTGTTCTTTGCTAATGACCCTTACTGAAGTAACAGGTGGGCTGGGTGATTTGGTGATAAGTCTAAGAATGAGCTGTAGTAATGCTCATATGACAGAAAACAAGAAAACTGAGTTGCTACTTGAGGCATTGCTTCAAGGGAGGGGACACTTGAAATACGTACATGTGATGAAAGGGAAAAGCTCAAGAAATTGTAATATTAAAGAAGGCCTATGAGTGATAGCAGGTGGCAAGTTAGTTGCTAAGTTACGAGGCAATTTTGGACAGCAGCTATGTAGGCAAGGATGGTTTAACGGGTCTGTGCCGAAGTTCCCATGATCAGAGATTATATAGAGGCATTATGTCAGCGTCAAATCATTGCACACAGAGTACCGTGATTCTGTTGCTGGGGAAGAGCTCTGCGCTGCCAGAGAAAGGAGCTGCATTGCTTTCTGCTCCATGTAGGGCTGGGGGAGGGGGGAGCTGGGAGCGCCAGCCTTTGTGCCTCGCTCAGTCCCACACTCTGATGAGTCCTCCAAATTCCAGCTCCTACTGGGATAATCATACGGGGAAATCTAGCTTTTAAGAGCAGAGGTAGCTCCTGCCTATTTTTCATAGCACTTCCTACCAGGGCTGCAAGCACTTCAAAAATACTGCCCTCTCAGAAGAGATCACAGCCTGCCTGAGGATAGCAAACAACGGCTCTTGCCACAATCTTTTCTGTAGTGGGGATGAAATAGGACTGTTGAGGGATAAAAAGAGACACTGATCTTTTGCTGGGATCCCAAGGGTTGAAGGGCTTTTCTCCCAGAATGGATCTAGCCTTTCCAAAGACAAAGACTGGTGAATTCAGTGATGAGTCCCTAGCTAGCCAGGATAATAGATCGCTCAATTTAAACCTTGCCCCCAGAGGCCTGTATGTGGGTTGTTGTTGTTTGGGGTTTTTTTTATTTTCCTTTTATTTGCGGTCTCTGCTACCACAGAGCTCAGATGGATAGAGCTGCTCATCAAATACATAACTAGCATTTGTGACAGGGACTGATAAATATGGCTGAGCACAGCTAGGTATTACAGGCTTTGTTTCTTGCAGTGGACTGGCATCAGTGTCAGAATCTTGATTTCATTCTTCTCCCATATGTAATCAATGTTAGTCAACTAGTCAGACTCCAGAAGCCACATTTGATCTGTATGACAGTCGTGGTCCTCTGAGCTCTTTCCCTAGCACATCCGATTTAATTTACCATGGATTGCTACCTCCAGTAGTACAGGGGGCTTTTCAAATACTGTAAAGGAAATAATCCTTGGAAAGGTAAAGGAAGATTGCATGAAAAGAAGTGTAGTTTTACCAAGGGTAGATTGTGTCAGGCTAATTTGGCACCTTTCTTTGGTAATAACTGTATAACAGACTTTGTAGGCAAAAGAAACACAACAGATCTAATAGATCTTGACTTCAGATTCCACAGCATCTGACTTGAAGAAATTACAAAGATAATGCTGTTAAGAAGTAACCTCATGATGACAAGACATCACTGGGGTTTGAGAAAAAATGGTTCAAAATTGGAGAAGAACTCCTAGGATGTTCAGAACCATGATTTATTTAGTCTAACAAATGAAAACTGAAGCTGAGCTGACTCTGGGCATGCTCTCAAGGGCACTATGTTAGTAGCAAACAGAAGAAAAAGCAAATAATTATGTAATGTGAAGGACACAGACTTGCCATAAATACATCTAGGATGGAAATAATAAAGATGTTCCTGATCACTGGAGAATTTAGGATTTGGAATAATGGTCCAGTAGAAGCAGCAAGAAATCTGGCTGGAAGACTAGCATGAACCAACATGGCCACGTTAGACTGTGTGGTGCTTATGTTAGCAAAGACAGGGTTCCATAGGGAACTTATCTTTGTTGTAGGTTTGTATAAACACTGGAGAGAAAAGCTTCTTATTTTTTTGCCTAGCTGGAGACTTGTACCAGGGTTGTAACTACCACATTATATCCATCAGTTCAAGTGTCAGGATTCTGACAGCATTTCTTTTACAGTAATTTCAGTAGATCAAAAACCATGTCATGCCCTAGTGTTCAATGAATATGAAAAATGTGATTTATAAAGTCTTCTAATCTTCTGCCAATGCATCTGAGATAATTTACTGTAAAACTCAAGACAGCACTAATAGGCTACTCCCTTCAACGCAGCATGAATTTGAAAGGGTAAACATCTAGATTCTGAAGTGCACTAAGGCTCATGTTCATCCTGAATAATCTTTTACATTTCTTTAAAGCTATTTTTAATATATGCGAACACCTAATTATAGCTAAAGATAATGTGCACTCCAATTATCCTCCCTTCCTGCTAGGTCCTCGGCAGATGAACAATCCCCAGAAAGAGTCTTTAGCCTGCATGCTCCCCTCCTCATTACACCTTGATGGATCTTCTGTTCTGCTCCCAGAAGTCCGAAGGTGAAAATGGGTAAGTGTGTGTATATACATGTGTGTACATGTGAGGGGAGTGGCAAGGAAGGACACATCTGCCCTGTTTCACATTCGCTATGCCCAACCCTGATGTTTATGCACACAGTTATATCTATCTGTACACACAGTCCTGATACGAACAAAGGAGTTTCTCACCTTCATATGAAAGCCATTTCTTAGAGTGCCAAAATCCTAGGCCCATAAGCAATTCAGGTTTTTACAGTCTTCTTGACTCCCCTCTGCAGTCTGGGCCCTCCCTTCCATACTCAGCCCCAGATGCAAAAGCCACCTCACTTAAGGACAGCCTTAGCACCTTGCTCCCCTTCAGTCTGGGCACCTCTGCTGCTCCTCACTGTCCTGGTCCTGCAAGACTCTTTTGTGGGAGAGGCGGAGCAGTATTTCAACAGCTGGCCTCAGCCCAACTGAGACTGATGGGAAGTTGCAGCCATCTTGAGAGGAAACATAAAATGGAAGCCTTTCCTGGTATCTTGATGGTATAAGTAACCTCTGATCCTTTTCCATCCACCAGCTCCAGCTGCTGGTCATCATCCAGATCTCAGATGTTGCAGCGCTGCCCTGCAAGCCTCTGCTTTGTTCTGTAGCACTGCACTGCTGGCAACAGTGTGTTTTGCCTTTGGTGGAATAACACTCATCTGCTGTTCCCAAAGCGCTGTTAACCTGCCCTCCTCAGCCAATAGAAGAGTTGCCATAACTAAGATGTTAAGATGTGATGGGGTGCCGAAATTAAGTGATTTGGGAGGTGAAAGCTTTCAGCTTCTCTCTCCTCCATTATTTACTTCTTTATTTAGGTTTCCTGGGGAGAAATAGCTAAGGCCCTTTAAAGAAGGTTCTTCACTGGCAGCTTCGAAAAGCAGCAGTGGGAGTGTGTATTGAAGAAACTGGAATAAACAACAAACCCAAAACATTAGGTCATGATTCAAACAAATACGACAGAGGGAGCACTTGGAGCAGACAATGTTTATTGCTCAATGTAGTCTGAAATCCAGGCAGTGTGCAGATGTAGTCCAGTGGAGCTCTCCCAAAGCTGGGAATGGAGTGGTGCACAGGGAGCAGACCACAGAGGACCAGCACGTATTCCTTTGGAAAGGGCCAATAACGATTGTGCAGCAGCCTGGGAATATTTAGCCATATAAAAGGTGTTAGTGCTAGCAGCAGCAACAGAAGCTTTTGCACATTTCTGTATTAAAAAAAAATAAATCAGACTTAACTTTCAGTGTGAGATGGCAGGTCAGCCACCATTTCTTACACAAACTATTGCAGCTAAAAATGACTGTGGGAAGACTTCTTAATTAGCCCTGTTGGGTTTCTTGGTTGATTAAGAAGAGAAAAGTAGCTGAACTTCTGAATCTAGTTTCCTGTGGAAACAAAGCTTACGCAATTGGTGTTTGTCCTGTACCTAATAATTCTCTGTAACCCTCTGGCAAATCATTTTCACTAAAGTTGAAAGAGTGATAAAGTTGAACATAATTATCTTTTTAAAAACATTTCATGAAATCTGGCAGTGGGATGAAGGACAGAGAGAGAGTCAGGTTGCTACCTTGACCAAAGAAAAGGCAGGAAGATCTCAGCCATTTTATGTTGCTTGCCAGCTAGCTGGCCAGTCAGCACACACGTGCTGACAGTGAGTATTTTTATAGCTCCAGACTAGCTCCAGAGTCTGTTGTCTCTTGGTAGTGACAGCGTCATCAGAGGCATGAGGAGAGCTGGGATTATTGTGGTGAAGGAGAAAGATGTGGGACAAAGGACACAAATCCGTAGGAAATCAAGCTTCGTTAGTTCTGCTGCTCAGGAACAACATGTTTGTCTAACAATAGCTTTCTGCTGAAGCATGTACGTCAGAACCAGATTAGATTTCTATTTGCATACCTCCTTACCTTTCTCAGGAATGCCTCTGGCATAAAACTCCTCAATTCTCTTTCTTCCTTAAGGCATGGCTCTCTCTTGGCAAGTAACTGTAAAAGTTGCATCTTATTTCTTAATAGATTTATTACTTTGTTTACTTAAAGTCAGATGAAGTGGGTTTAATAACAACAAATGTTTTCTGCTTTTTCTAATCCTCTTGGCTCTTCAGAAACAACATAGCAGAGAGAGAGCAAATGAGCAGGATGCAATTCCATGTTGTGCACACACTGACAGCAGAACCCGAAGACAGCCTTCTTCAATGTAAACAAGGCATAAATTTATCCTACAGAACCCTTGTAGCCAATGATCTGAGAGGGAAAGAATCAAATGGATTTCTAAAGCACAGGATGAGCCTGTAGCACTGACAGGAAGAACAGGATTTTTTTGTTTTCTTGTAAACTGAGCACGCTTCATATGTACTTGTTGAAATAATAATTATTAAAAAAAAACAAAACCCAAACCACAAGAAAACTTTTACAGCCACTGTTCAAAAGAATGCTGTAGTATCCAAGAGAGTTTTTATCTGTCTAGGGTCTGTATTATGCTTGTTATAATGATATCAGTACTTTTAAATTAGAGTACCAATGCCCAGATTCCACAGGGATGTGTGTCACAGAAATGCATGTGCTAGTAATTAGAACAGAGTTTTCAAATATTGCTTCAAATTTAGACAGGAACCTTTTTATGCAGTTGTGTAATAAAACAAGGAAGCTAGAACCAGACTGGGGGGGCAGCCTTAATATATGACACAACCACTAACACAGCCTGAGACCTTGCATGCTATTGTTGCCACTAGCCCACACCAAGGAAAGGAAGTGTTTTCAAATACTAGGTGGCATTTCTGAAGCTCAGCTTTCATGGAAGTCCATCCAAACCCCAGCTGAACATTCCCGCTGCTACCCACTCCAAAAATTCAGTCCAAAGAATAAGTACTTAGAAAAGAAATGAGATACAATTACAATTAAACAAATATTACTTTTTTAGATCACTACTTGGCTACTCAGTGTCCAGCCATTAGTATTGTGCCTTTGCAGGGGAAATATCTGATGTTTCAGGGGGAAAAAAAAAAAAAGGCAGAAAGAGCCAACTAAGCTGCGCTGCATTTCATGGGGGTAGTCCTTCCTGATCCCCCCATGGACAAGGAGTCTGTGAAAAGAAGTACAGAGCAATTACCCTAATCACAGTCTTAGCAAATGCGATTAATGATCAAACGGTTTTCCAACATTTTGGCAAATCCTGTCTTACTGTTGTTTGTCTTAAATTCCTCCCACAGCAATAAGCTGTGTAAGTTGACGAAATGCAAATGCGAAAAGCGCTACCTTTTGTGTCCCAGGGGTGCTATAACTTGATTATATCCGACCTACTCTTTCATAGCTGACCTAATTTCTTCCATTGTTATAATTTTAGAAGGAAGTTTTTACAGCTTCTTTGTACATTAGATGGATTAGTACTCCAAGGTACCTGGACAAAAAAGGAGATGAAAACCAGTCTTTTGCAGCCAGTACGCTGTTGTTTTAATTTAGCTGAGTGTGTCTAAGTGGAGGAACACAACAGCCTAATTTTAAGACTTTCTTATTTTGTTCACCTTGACTTTATGTGTTTGAAGGCTAAAATAAACCTTCTGTGGCACATATACAGGAGCTAATGAATTAACTCCAGTGACCAGCTTAACTGCTAAGAAACTTTACACTGGGTCAAACCTACAATCTAGCAGCTTAGATTTACTTTCTAAACAAACGTCTCAAATGTGCCATTAGGAGGCTAAAATACACCCACTGGCAAGGCCTGCACCCCGATAATGTGTTCACCTGAGTGCTAAGCTGAGTCAAACAGATCCTGCTAAAAGCAACGCTGCACCCAGTGCAGTGGCAAAGGGGATGGGATTTGTCTCACAGTTTTTGCAGTAACTTGCTATAGTCTGTCAATGTTTGCTCAGTCGCACCTAGTCAAACTGGTTTACATTGTCTCCTGCCTCATCATTTGTAAGTAATCCTTTCTTCCCCCCCCCCCCTTATTCAAACTTGCTGGTGCTCACAGTTGTGCTAGGATTGTTATTACAAAGCATCAAGAGGGTCAAAACCAGGGTGGGCTTCAGAGGCCTTGTCTGGAATTCAGATTTTAAGTGCTTAAAATCACTTGGTTTTGGTGTATGTTCATTTAAGCAATCAATACATGTGACTGTGTGTGTAGTATGGTGCTTCAGAGTCTTACCAGCCCTTCCCTATCCCTATGCGGTTCAAGTAACTACATTTTTCTGTGATGGCACATGCCTAGGGAGAAATCAGCAAGTGTTTTTTGAATGGTACAAGCTGAAACCTTTCCCCTTGCTCACAAGGGGAGACAGGCCAGCTTGCAGCAATTTTTAATCCAGGAATGCAAACTCTGGGGAGATGAAGTGTCTTGAATAGCTGTGACAGCAGACCTAATTCAGGGTAAAGCATTCTGGGACTACATAAATGGCACATAAAAGAGGAGGAGATGTGGAAGGAGCCTGCAGAAACCGTGGATGAGTAACCTAGGCTATTGTGTTAATGGGATTATGCTTTGCTTTGAGGTCTACTACTGTAGAGAGAGACTGAGTCACTTTGCCTCGGCCTAATGTCATGGAGAGGGGAAGGCTAGGATTTACATTTAATGACAAAAATAGCTGTACAGCTGCCAGGGAGTGCCTGGAGTCCTACCACCACCACAGCTATCCAGGAGAGTTACAGGGAGTTACTTTTCCTTTTAGCCTCCTTTATGGCACCAGCCTCTTTTCTCCAGCCAAGCCTCTCCAGACATTCTTTATGTCCAGGCAGCTTTATAGCTTCTCCACTGGTGTTTGGTGAGACTGCTTTTTCTTCTGCGTTCAAGCCTGGGAAGTGGCGGACAGCAGGGCCCCCACTGCTTCCCACCCCACTTCCTCTGGCCTGGAACCCCTGGTACAGAGGAGCCTCTCTGCACTGTCAGGAGCCCCCCTCTCTAGGGAGCATGGCTTTCTTCTCCCATTGGCATTGCAATGCTATCAGCCCCCACTGAAGCAGTATCTGATTCCCCTGTTTTATCTTCGAGGACCAAGTACAGCATTTCATATCTAGAAAAATGTGAATATTACATATCCTGTTACAGTGCTATAACATACAATGGGAATAGGCTGGTCTAAGTCCCTTTTATACAGCTTATTAGCCTCCCTCATAGGGAATTAATGTTTTTTATTGATGGAGTTCCAGCAATACATAGTACCCCATGTAAAAATAGGACAAGGCTTTAAACTAAAAGAGGGGAGATTTAGATTAGATATACAGAAGAAATTGTTCACTATGATGGTGGTGAGGCACTGGAACAGGTTGTCCGGAGAAGTGGCTGCCCCATCCCTGGAAGTGGTCAAGGCCAGATGGGGCTGTGTGCAACCTAGTGTAGTGGAAGGTGTCGCGGCCTGTGGCAGGACAGCTGGAACTAGATGGTCTTTAAGGTACCTTCCAACCCAAAACGTAATATGGTTCTATGACCTAGCTCCATGCGTGACTAAACTGAGTAACATATCTGTAACTCAAGCCTTCTCTGCTGCACCCCTGTCCTTGCATAGGTTTGTTGTATTCTTTCCTGTCTGTCATGTCCATTATTCATACTGCACAAAGCACAGTGCCCCAGGTGATGTTTTATCACAGGTAATTTCTGGATTGATACATTTTACAGCTCCCTTGTTCTGCTCAGAATTCAGAACTGATACTGATTTCAAAATCTGAAGAAGACTCATCTTCAAGTGTATACAAATTAGTATTCTGCCTTACTCATTGCTTTGAATATTAGGCAGAAGTGCCACTAGAGTTTTTACTGGACTGGTTATCCTCTACAAATATGAGCATTCACATTGCTTATAGTAGAGGTGGCAGAGCTATGTCTACAGACTATCAGGCTTTAGGACCCCAAACTGGTGAAATTACTTTGTTTAGATTGGCATTAACACAGCTACATGCAACAGCACTGTTCAGAGGATGAATCCCTAAATTGGAAAGTTCTAGACAGAGATTCAAACAGACCACGGAATTGCTGGACTGGGCAAAAAAGCTGTTAGCCTGTTAAGTCAGCCTTAGTCATTTTCTTCCTTTCTCAGTGCAGCCACAATTTCCATCCCACATACTGTCCTAAAAAAATATTTTAATATCTGTTTCAGTGCTCTCCAGGCAGCTAATAGGTTCTTCCTTATATGTGTGATTGCTTGACTTTCATCAGCTTCTGTTTATTTGCTCACTGTACTTTTTAATCCCTCAGTGAGGAGAGAAAAAAAACCAACCAGGCAAACAAAACCAACACTAAAACTATTTTTTTTCCCAGTTTCATCAAATTGTCCTTTAATATTGTTGGGCTTTTTCTTTTTTTTTTTTCTTTCTTTTAGGCTAAATTAAGAGTTAACTCCAGTTTCCTCTCTGGCTACTTCAAGTCTACCTGAAAGGGGCAGGGTAGAGGGGAAAGGTAACTTGCCCAACTTTTATGATTTGTATTATATCTATTCAGGCAGAATGAGCAGAAGTATGAAACAAGGAGTGTCAACAAATTTCACAAGGATTAATGTTTGCATCACTGATAACGAAGAAGGAGAATCACATGGCATGATAAGAAGTAAAAGCGATCAGAAGACGGTGTGACTGCGAAGGGGGAAGAAAATGAAAAGTTGAATGATGGTAAAAGAGGGAGTCAGGGGAGGGATTTAAACAGGTGAGAAAATGTGCAGGAATAATTGTGTTGACTTTTGGTTAGTAATAGCAGGGAAGGGGCAATTACAGATATCTCCCATGTAGATACAGGGGAGATGAAAAGGGAGGGGACATACAAGAGCAGTGTGACTTCGAGAGAAAAGGTTGCAAGCTTGAACATGGTCCCACTGCCTTGGGCTAGGACTAGTTTTGATTAGTCCAAGCAACGGGGTTGGAAAAAAACGAAGGACTTATAAATACAGTAGAGGGATTGGAGTAGCACTTCAGCGGGCTCCTGAGAAGTTCAGCAGCAGCCATGTGTGAAAGTCAAATTGGCAAAGACACTTCCCCAGGAAGACATAGCTGCTAAAATGTAGAACTGGATGGATGAAGAGACCAAGATAAATGCAAACGTCACTGATGCAGAATCCTGCCAACGTGACTGGGTACTGATCCACATGGAGAGACAGAAGCCTGCTGAGATTTCCATGCCGAATGGGAATGGAAAAGAAAGCCTCAGCTGTCAAAAGGGAGAAGTGAGGATGGAGTCGTGAAAGCCAAGGGAAGAAAGTGTTGAGAGGAAAGATAAAGTTGGCAGAGAGATGACAAAAGTAAGAGACGGGGATCAGCGAAGATATAAATAAAGACAACTTCTTCTAAGGAAGCAGAAGTCATGGGAGCAATGAGAGTAGATAGCAGAATGTCATAAATGCAAGACAGCAGAAAAGAGGCTTGGAAATAGTTGCTGTATGTGAGTTGTGGTATTTAGTCTCAGTGAGAGATGAGCCAAGGAAATTACTAACTGTTGTGAATATTGAGAATAACAGTGTGCACACTACAGGAAAGTTAGTGGAAGCTCCGAAGGACAGAGGGAACAAAAGAGAGAGAAGTGTTAAGAGCGTGTGAAAGAAAGTGGTATGAGTCTTAATATCTTTAGGAATCAGTCTATGCAGTCTTGCATGGTAAAAAGGAGAAGTCATAGGAGAATTCTTGCCAGCATGGGTAAGGCAGCTGTCTTCAGACTTTTCTTTCCATTGTCTGAAACCTGATGGATGTACAGCATCAAAACTGGTTTTCAGGCAAACGAGCAAGATGGAAGGCAAGAATTAGCCATAAGGAGACAGAGTTAAGGGAAAGGAGGGAAAGATTTTGCTAGAGGAATATGGAGCTATTTAATTACCCTAATTGGCATAATCTATCGTTTCCTACAGCATCATTGTACTGAAAGTCTGTGTAATGAGAAGTGGGATTCAGATCACTTGACAGACAGGCAGATGTACCTGCTGACTTCAAAGCTTATGCCTGCATCTCTTTTGTCAAAGATGAGAAGCAGGGAAAGAAAAACCAGTTTTCAAAGTCAGGGTCAGCAGACGATGAGCATATCATTTGCATTTTGCTTTATTAACGTGGGTTAGCTCAGCAGGCAAAGATAAATGATTTTGTAACAGGAAAAATAGGGCCAGTAACTGCACATATTTTTTTCCCCTAAAGTAAATGAGGCACTGCTGGTGAGGGGACTTTGGGGAGGGGGTCATATTCCATTTCAGTCAGGAAATACAGATGTAGGCTGGACCAAAAGGGCTCTGAATATTTCACCAAGGAAAAATCACGACAAAAAGAAAAAAAGGAGCTAGGCCCTGCAGTTATCATAGAGTCTTGCTCCTAGGTGATGATGATTAGCTCCTGCTGCATTGGGTGCATGTGTTCTTCCACTGTGTTTAGCCTGAGCAGCTCACAGACCCGCCTCTATCCCTGGCTTCCTGCACAGAAAGTCTCTGTTACCCCTCTGTGGAAATGAGACCTCTTACAGCTGGGCTTCTATAATCTCCGAAAACTCTTCCTTTTGCCCCACATTTCCCATAACTCAAGCACAGGTTTTGTCCCTCCCTTCCTATAAAGTAACATGGGGTTACTGAGTACAGAGCATCTCTTCATGGACATACGGCTGTGGAAGCAATTGGGCACATGTTTAAGGAATGCTAGCACTGATCATGCCCTACTGAGGCAGCTCAAAAGCATACAGATCTAGGGAAAATAACTGGTATCTGTGCAGTTTTCCTTGCCTGAATTTTCTGTTTTCTTTGGGCTCAGAAGACTTTGAAGCTTTCTGCTCTCCTTCAACCCATACAAAACATCTTCCTTAGCTGTGAGTTGCATCTCACAGCTAAACCAATGTGCTATGAAAGGAAGGTTGCCTTTTCTGCTCAAGCTTTCTGTGACTTTGAGCACACTCCAGCTTGTCAGGTCCATGGTGGGATTACACAGTTTCTCTCACCACACCAAGTAATTATTTGCTGCCAAAAAGGGGCAATTCCACTCCACCTCCTCCTTAGCTGTGCACCCCAGCAGCTTCCCTTCCTGTGGCACTGGAACTCATCTTGTCTTGCTGCAAAAATTTCAAGAGACCTAAAGTAGTAGAAAACTGGTTTTGCCAAACAAGGTGACCAGTATTTTTAATGGATTAGCCAGGGAAGCCATCCCACCACAGGATCATACGAGCACAGCCTGGGCGAGTCAGGACTGCCCCATTTGGTGTCAGACAGCTGTGCAGATGCTTAGCTGCATCATCACACCATACCCCACAGCTCAATCCTGGCCTATACTTCTGAGAAAATTCTTCTATTCCTCACTTATCAGGCAAACACAGCAGGACTGATTTAGCCTCCAGCTGTATGACTTTCCAAACATGCACCCATTTTGAATGGGAGCAATTGAGTTCTAGTAACTGTCTGCCTTCTCATCTCTGGAAGGCGTGTGACACAGGCCTGATGGTTCAGCTCCACATCCACTGACAGATATGGTAACCCAGCAATTTCTTACCTTAAATCAGAATACAAAAATTACACACAGACACAGTTCCCAGATTGTCACAGTTAGGCATGGTGAAGCATCTACAAACTGTCCCAGAACATGTGCTATTTCTTTCCTGATTATATTGGCTCTGGTACCAAAACCACAGGAAAGGGATAAGTAGGTACTGAATTGAGATGAATTTATTCCTATTTTGTATTGAGACTGACATATGCTTCAGTTTATGGCACTATTATTTAAATGAAAATATGTAAGGTATGCTGTATTTTGTGTTCCAATTTACTGGTATAAATGAAGTGAGGTTTTTTAATCCTTTGAACAAAGTTACCTCAGAAAAATTGTGGCACTCTCTGCTCTGGATTGCAGTGACCTGACATTGGTATATTTTTGTGTGTATGGCTCTGGGTCTTCCTTCTTTTCTTTTCCTTCAGCAGCTTTCTCTGTTGGCACAGAGATAAATCCAAATTTCAGCAACCTGTTTCCAGGGCTAAACAGACAATCTGCTGCCTTTTATCTGTTATTTTTTTAATTTTGTGGATTCTGCTCTGTAATCTCAGACAAGAAAAGTTAAAAGCAGGGCAGCATTGCACACTCTAGTTTTTTGGAGTATATTTATATCCTGCATGAACATGATAATTTTACTTAGATTGAACATGTATCTAAGATAGAAAACCTGATAAAATAGTTGAGAAATGAGAACAACTCTTTTGTCTTCAAATCTAGCAATTCTAAACTAATTTGTCAAACTAGAAGCTTCTGTTGGCTTACATCATAGTATTATAATACCTGTAACATACAACATGACTACTTCCATGATCTTTTGATTTGGTTTTGCCTAAACTTTAAATAGTACAATAAAATTTTCTGGGTAAGTAAATGCACTTATGGAAACCTTGCATTGTTACATAGGTTTCTAAATGCAGTACTGTATTTTCATTTTGAAAGGAAAATAGATGGGACTTCTTTAATTACCACCTTTTAGCTCTTTTTGCTTACTTAGAAACATAGGTATCTAAAGAGTCTCCTCCTCTTCAAAGAAGTTATGCAATCACTGTGTCTCACAAGAAACCTTGGGCTGGGGGGGCTTTGCAGCATGGCAAAGTAAATGTATTTCAGACCAATACAGAAATATGATCAGTTATAAACTGTACATGACTAAATGTGTGGCGTTTTTCCATAGGACGACAGGAATGTTTAAGTAGCGGACTGCAGTGGAACTGCAGCACACCTCACTATCTGTGGCCACCCCAGCACATGTTGTGCTGATGCGATGTGCAAAAAATGAAAGGTTACTTAAAATGACTTCTGCTTTCTCACCTGCAGGAGGGCCCCCACTTGCTGCAGCAGTGCAGACAGCTTTGAATGAATCACGGTATTCCAAGAATCACTGACAAACCTTGTCACATGGGCAACCCGCAGCACAGGAGCTGCCAGAATGATGCAGTGACTAAGGAGGCTGATGTGATCCCTGGATGTAGAATACCTTCTGTAGGAGTAAAGAGGTGATATTACAGTAACATTAAAGGAATAGCGTGTCTTGTTCTGGTGCCCACGCTTGAGAAAAATGATGTTGACAATTTAAGCTTCGCAAAGGAGCAATAAGAGTTACATGATATCTAAGCAAAGATGATTTATGGTAAGAGACTTACGATCAGTCTCTTTAGTTTATTGAAAAGAAGATTAAGAGGGAACCCGATGATGAACAGTAGGCTGTGCAGGTTCTTAACTGCAAGGGGCTCTGTCATCCTATAGTCAATAGACATAGCCACATCCCATGGCCAGAGGTGAAAGCTAGAAATAAGGCGGATAGAGTAGTTCAGGTAAAGATCAATTATCTCCATCACAGTATTGTGCTTGGATCATGTTCTGGTTTCACAGCCAGAAGACCTTTTAATTACTATGGCAAAGGTGTCATAAAATGTATGCATGAATAATTGAGATGATATGCTATGTAAATAGGGCCCTACACAACTAACCTCCAAGAATTCAAAAGGGCCGACTGGGACATCTGCATTCTAATAGCTCTTAAGGGAGGATTGTGCAAATCAAGGACTTTTGCTGTTACGGGCAATTCCAGGACACCCTAGTTATGGCCTTCCCAAAATCATGACTGGCCTGTATTCCTTCCTGTGACATCTCAGCCATGCTAGCCTGTAAAACAATATGTCATTCATCTTCAAATTCCTCCTCCGGGCTGGACTCGGGAGTCATACATATATTCAGGGAAAATACTCCTATGCTTCTCTCCCATTAAAATCAATGAGTTTTCAGGCTGTCTGAAGATAAACATAGAGTTCAGACTTCCCTGAATGCAACCAAGCAGCCTACTGATTGTGTCTAGGTAAAGAGCCAGTAGGGATCTTTCTTTCATTTCTTTGACTTCACACCAGTTTATTTCATGTTGTCTATTTAGATGCTAAGTGCTTTAAAGCGCAAACTGTCATTTCTATGGATGTAGTGCTTAGCACAGCTGAAGCCTGTCTTGATTGGGAGTTCTAGATGCAACTTGAATGCAGATAATAGAAATTTATAATAAGGCTTGAATTAACGCTTAATCTCCCATGCTGTACAGTTTGACATCAGTGCTGCGTTATCCCATTTACAAAAGCTACAGTCCTTCTGAAAGGACTCATCAAATGCTGTTGTAGGAAGGATTTTGTGCTTTGTCTCATAGCAAACATTTCCAGAACTGGGCTGTTTCTTTTCTATGATCATTGCAAATAAAGACCACACACATTTCATGTTCTCAAAGAAAAGCAAAAGAAATCAACACTTGCTAAACATAAATTAATCTAGATCTAGCTAAGGACTCAAAAAACAAAATACTTTTAGTACACATGGGCACTCACTAGGTCCTTGGGTAACTGCCTGCCCTCAGCTCTCAGTACATAGCTCTAGTTGCTAGCAGATCCTGGTTGAAATTCAAATCAGTTTCAGCATTGCTGCTGTCTCTTCTAATTGACTCTGTTGATACACTCAGCTAGTGGGAGGGACAGGGGAGCAAAGCAGGCAGAAAGGAGCAAATGATTTCTAACACATGCTAGGCTATTGAGAAAAACATTACGGCTGTGGGGGCCTGACACTGCACAAGTGCCGGGATTCCCCATGCCCTGCCATGGAGCACTCCAGAAAAACGAGAGCAGTATTTTTTTTCCTTTTTTTTAATGTTGGAAGCATTAGGCCCAGACAGCGGTTGAAAACCACAGCTCAGTTGGCGATGAGCGCTGTGCAGCAGCGGAAGCGTGTGGAAAAATTCTGGCTGACTCATCCATAATTCATCTGGCGTCCCAGGGAACGTGCGCACTGGAGAGGGATCCCTGGCACTCCTGCAAGGAAGAGGCCTTCTGCCCCATCAAGATGTGGGCAACAACCAGCCCTCTTTTACCCAGGTAACCTCGCAGTCCTCAGGCTTGCTGCTGGGCCGTCTCACCGCCTCTGCGAGGGACTGGTCTCCCTGCTCAGCACAGGGCAGGAGACCACAGCCCTGGGAGACTCGCTGACTTGATCTTTATGATGATGCTGCTGTGGGGAAGGGTCAGTGCAAGAGCTGGCCCCATCCCCTGGAATAACACATGCAATGACCTGAGGAATCCATCCCAGCCTGTTCAATATTTGCATCTTCACATGTGTGTGCACGTGGCGTAAACTCAGCTTTGAGTGATTCTGCTCTTGGTGTACAACCTCTTTTTGGGCTGTGTTTCCAAGGGCTCCTAGCAAAGAGCTCAACAGATGTTATTAAACCTTAATGATCTGTTCACACAGAACCCAAAAGGTAGGTGGCTGCAAACCAGGGTAAAGCAGTTTTTAAGCCTGACCTTCAGCTTGGAGGTAGCTAAGCAACATATTCCATGTTGAAGGATTTCGGTCACCTGTTAGGGTTATTTTAAAGGTGTAACTGGCCTAAAGAGACACGTAGAAAGTCTTGTTTGAAAGAAAAATAGAAGAAACAGGATGAATATCAGAGACTATCTGTGATTTGCATTGTGTGCAGTAGCCTAAACCCAAGAGAATCTTATGCAAAAGAATGGAGACATGTAGTGAGGAAAAAATTATATAGACAAATGAAAGTAGATGTTAATTACTTTATCTCCATCCATGCATGACTTCTACTGCCCAGGGCTAAAAGAGTTGACTCCTTCAGGACTGACTGCTTCCAGTGATTTTCTGAAAGGATGAATGAATCTCAGACTACTCAAAATACCAGAGCCACAAAATAAGCTGTGGGAACTCTATCATTAGTCCTGGGACTGTGTGGTCAGCCACACGACGTAGACAAAGTGAACAGCTGAAAAGCATGTATACTCAATAGTGCCCAAACACAAGGGCCTAGCTGGGTTGCAGATTCCCCAAGACACCTGTAGATCAAGAGGGCTGTATGCCATAATGGTTGCCCCCTTTGGTTAACTTCCACCTGAATGATCTGTTGGTGAGAGCATGGAATAACTTGATGAAACAAGATTCAGAATTGATTATCTAGCAAGTGCAAGTCAAAATCATCAGTTAGATTGAGAGTCTGCAAATGTATATCTATACTATTTCCAGAAGCTGCGTCATTGCAGGGCTGTAGTCATTGTTGCTACCCTTAATCATTAATCAAAAAAAAAAAACCCCAAGCAAGCAAAACCAAACATGAAACTATGACTTAAGAGACATAATCTAGAAAATGCAGCATGTTTTAAAAATAAATATTTCACCTTGCCAAGGCAAAGTTCCTTTATGACATGATGTTTAATCTCACACATACTTCTATGGTAATTTTCTTATCTTGAATCTAATTACTTCCCAGTATTTCAGTTTGTTATATGTATTTTCATATCATGGTCTGCCACCATTCCCAAAAGTACACTCCACTGCACAATTCTCCGTAGTATTTATTTTGAGGCAGCTTCTGGGATAAAGAATTAGTCCTGGGATTTACCCACAGTTTTAACACTGGCCAGCCAGGTGACTTCCAGCCAAGTCACTGTACCTCTTCACCACCATTTTCCAGCAGTCAAAGTGGGGTAATAACCCTTTTCGAAAGCACATGGAGATCTGCAGATGAAGTCCTATATAGTTTTAACAGATGAAAACCTCAAGACCAGCACCTGTCAAAGTGCTTATTAACCTATAATAGAATTGGCAAAACCAGATATCACTGACCTTTTCTTTTCCTCAGTCTTTTTAAACAGGTACAACAGTAATAGAGACAAGCTTTTAAACTAGATGTTTGTGACCTAGTTGGAACATGTACAACCATTGCAGATTTTGCTCATTGGTTATGACTTTTTTTTCTTAAGGTGGCCTCTGAAGGACCACATGCAACATCTCTCATACCTGTGACTATGTGCACCCTTGGCCCAGCCAGGCAGACGTGCTGCTTGAACTGCAGCAGCCCTCAGGACAAGATAGAGAAGAACTGCCTGCATTTGAGAACAAAGCCTCACTGAGACACTTGCTTTTCAGTCCTGCCTGACAGCTGAGCTCCACACAGAAGGTATGTTAAGTTAGGGAAGCTTCCTGTAATCTCTGCCCCTTTGAAAAATACCCAACAGCCAGATTAAATATGTCTTGCAGTGACTTTCATGTCATCAGCTAGAGCCGTCTCTAAAAAGGTACAAGCACAACAGCCAAGTGATTGTGCTAGAGACGCATGAGTTAATTTTAAAATGTTTCCTGTTTCACCCTTAAGAATGACCTTTACTAAAAAAAAAGTAAATTAAAATTAAGTATTAAATACATTTTCTTAAATAGAATCAACTATGGAAAAGGTTCTTTCCACTCCTTAACATACACAATCACGATACACTGATTACTGTACAGGATTACTATAGTATCTCTTTGAAGTTCGTATACGGAGTTCAACTATATATATATTTAAAAAAAAAAACCTAAAAGGGGGGATTAGTCAGATTACTATTGGCTTGCCTTTATTACCTCATGTTTATTTTCTCGGTTACACACTGAATATTTCCAACATTGCGTCCCCCTTAGTAGCAAACATCTCCATTCCTGTTCCAACACAATACCCTGGCTTTTGATACCTGATATGCTATGTGCCAATGTGAAGCTTGATTTACCAGTGAGAATCCAAGAGACTCCAATATCCTGCTAGCACAAGCAAGGCTGGAGGACTAGGACTTTTGTTCTGGAACTTCTAGTCAGAAGCTCTTGCAGTATTAAGAGTAGATGCTTTGTCCATCATCTCAGCCCTAGCAAACAGAGGCACAACTGTGTGGTGCATAATATTGTGATGTTTATTTTAAGAGTATCATCTTGCAATGGCATATTCAAGAATTTGTGTCATGCATCTGTTGATTTTGTAACTAAAGCACTGTTGGCCAATTTTTTTTCCCTTACTGGTTCATAACTGTGGGAGGAAAACATGTAAGTAGATTGGAATTGTGCACCACAGCCATGAGTGTAACTTTTGTTTAGGCTCAGAATGTGAGACAGAGGAATCAAACTGGAGCCAGCTGAGGACAGCTCTTCTTCTAGGCTCTCAAGTTCCTCTAGGAGGCTTTTATACAACCCTTGAAACCTAGTTGGGATATTTCTTCCAGTAGAGCTACACCTATAGTGTAGGCAGGATGCAGACACTTTACTGCAGTCAAACCATATGCAGCTTGATTACACTTTGCTATGTTCTTGGCAGTACTGAAGGAGCATGAATTAGTGACTTTTTTTTCATGTATGCATTTGTAAAAGGCACAGTAATGGATGTTCAACATCACTGAGAAGCCAAAATAAATATACTGTGGTAATGACCTTCAGGATGTGGAAGAGAATGTTCTATCACTTAATGATAAGTAAATAAATAGAATAACAATTCATGCCTTATTAATTTGACTATGTCTTTAAATTAAACACAATAGTATTGCAGAATCATATGTAGATGCTCAGTATATAACTGGCTATTTCCTAACATGCTTTTTAAGTTCTGCACTGAGTATTACAGGATAAATATTATACCTGTACCATATGTCTTTTCTTCTTAGTTAAAAATTAAAGTAAAAGGTCATTCTTGAACAGGCTCAGAAACTATACAGGGGTTTGCTAAAATACAGAGCTGATTCCAGCTACATACAGCTCCTTTTCTTGCTACCTTCCCTTGCTTTTAGGACTCATATTAAAAGGAAGAAGAGTTGTTTTTCAGGCAGTGTTGATGTCCAGCTTCAGTACACCTCTTGCAAAGATGTTGCTGGAAATGTCATCTTTAGCATTCATGTCTTCAGAAACGCCAAGAATCCTTGGTTGCCAAAACCAGAAAGCATAAACTCAGATAACCATCACTTGGCCCTTCTTGCTGGCCAATTTTTAACTACTGCTTCCGCACATACTTGTTACTGGCTGTTCATTAAAGAGGGATGATCAGTTCCTTGTTACAGAGTGTGTGGGGGGAAGTCCTACAATTTTCTACACTGTTGCTCCAGTGATGCTTGCTGGTTTTGTCTTCCAGCTCACATCAGTCCTGCCTGAGCTAATACCAAGCTGTAAATGCACACCCCACCAAGGAACATTTGGAAGATTTGTGTGGATGCATTTATATTCTCTGTGGGTAGACATGGTTTATAATACTTCCTTTTGCTGTGTTTTTCACTGTGGTTCAATATTCCTGTACATAACACTGTGCCACTTTAATTATGGATCATGATTCCATTTAAATTCATTGTTTGTACTTAAAGTTTGAAAGAGAAGTTGCTGCCTTCTCTGCTATTAATAGTATTATTGTTTTATATAACTACATGATTCCCATATAGTGGATAAACTATAACAGACAAATAAGCATCTCTGCCCATAAGGAACTTTAACTTCTGCATAAAAAGAGATGAACTGATACAGAGCAGGAAAGTTCAATGCAGAAAAAAGACTGAGGTTTGGAGGGTAGACAGAAAATGCTGCAAAGACGTAGCAAGTCTGCAAAAAGTCAAAGCTTTTCCTAGAGATGAGGGGCAGTCTTAGGGCCAACATTTACGCCTCATACTATGTACCGCAATTCCTGGTGAAAATTGAGATGTCAGTAACTAAGGTGAAGAGGCTATTTTTCCTATGAAGTGTTTAATTTTGCAACTGTATTTCCTCTTACCCAAGCACTGTATCACCTCTTCCTATGAGCCATGGATTACATGCAACTGAGTCACATCTCACTTCAGCTGTACCACATATTTAGCAGCTTTTGGTCTCACCTCTTTAGCATTTTGCCACTGCCACCTCTTGTTCCCCTTGCTCAGACACAAAGCTCAGGCTGGAAAGCAAGACAGCAAGCCAGCCCATACCCACTGCTGCTCTTCCTGCTGGGCCACCTGTGTGCCAGGTTGGGCTGCACACAAAGCTTGCCTTTGTGCTGACCAGGCATGTCAAGAGGATGCTTGGTGGCACCCAACAGCTCATCTGGGACCCACAGAGGTCAGGTAAAGACCCTTGTGCTGAATTGCATCAAATAAAGAAATTCATACTGCAGGCAGAGGACTTGGAGAGCAAAAGAATGCTTTGAACAATATGCTGTCTCTGTGAGCCAAATGTGTACTAAAAAAATTGCTAAAAGCAAACACAGCCCCATAAATGATGCTGTCTAAAACAGCATAGATTTATATTTCCCATACAATGAGTTTAAAGTAAATATTTCATGCCTGTAAAAATATTGTAACACATTATAAAGGTTTCAAAGTCAAGCACTCATGATAATAAGAAACATGTTAATTTGGATTAACTTTTGCAGCTTTAATTCTTTCCCTCTGAGTACATTTTCATTCTGGTAGCCTTCAGCTGTACGATCACATCCAACTTTTTGCAGAGCAAGAATATGTTCATCTGTTTTAGTCAAACATGATAGAATGGGATGGATGACCTCCAGGTGCCTGTCTTTCTCCACTAACTGCTGACAGAACTGAGGTGAGAACTCTGGTGAGACACCTAATGCGCTGGATAGTGAAGTGATTCCTGCTTCTAGTACTGCCACAGAACGCTGTTACTGGGCATGCTAAATTTGTTCCAGGTAAAGCTCACCACCAGCTCATCCACAACCAATGCAAACCTTCCACAGAGAGAAAACATAGTGCTTGACAGCTTCTGGTATGCTTCTACAGTGCTGGCTAAGTGGCCATGGAACCTTATGTCAGTCAGAACTGAAACACATCTCTCTTCATGCACCAGTTCGTACCTTTCTGCTGCCTGGCAATAACTTTTAGAAATGCACTTTCAGATTCCTAAGAGTCTCAAATGCACTTTTTTATCATGGACACTCATCTAAAAATCCAGGCTGGTTGGTGCAGCAAACAAGAAAAGTCTAAAATAAGCAAAGGATATGATTTTCTGATATGATTTGTATTGCTCTTGCTACTGGGCTGGTTCTCCAGTACAGCTTCATGCTACTGGTTATTGTTAGAGAGAATGACCTTCTCTAGAACATATGGCCTCTTATAGACTCCACTTTTGTAAGGGTTAATTCAGAGCTGGGGATAAATGCTACCTGCCACATGAATATCATATGGCACTTCTGTAAACTTGCAAGTTGCTAGAACCACCCAACAGCTATATAAAAGAGTGTACTTGCATTCTGCATTCGCAGAATTTAGTCACAGTTGCTTGGCACGTCAACAACATAACACACTCACTAGAAGAAATGAGGAGTCACAAGAACATAACAAATTCACTAGAAGAAGTAAGGAATCTCTAACAAGCAAATTTATCCTAGAACTCCTAACCACAGAACATTAAAATTAAGCAAACTACCTGCTACTCAAAACCTTCCTTTAATTACCAAGAACTAGCCAAGTGTGACAAATCCATGACAACGATGAATTGATAGTTTCCTACAATCTTTACGTTTAAAAATAATTTCCTCTCTGCCATAAGTCTGACCTTACTAGGGCCCAGAAGCAGAGACAGCATTTGCCTATTAACAAGCATTATTGTACATAAAGTACCTTAAGAAACAGAAAACTGAAGTTAGCAATATACAGTGGAGAGCTTTCAGAGATGGAAAACTCTGCACTCCACAATTTTCCTCAACCTTTCTCAAAATATACTAAATATATTCAACATGAAGGACTCTGAATATAAAGATTACTGTTTGTTTCTCTACAGAGCTTTTACATGGAAAAGAATGTGGTCAAGTTAAACTAGGTGTTGCTGATTTTCATTATTTCAACACAAATCTTTCCATGCTTTTTTCAGCTGCCAGTCAAGGGAATGCAGCAAGAATCCTAGGTTTTATATTTTTAAAGCAAGTTTTTAATTCTTCTATATGGCAAAAGCTTGTCAATATAAAAGGAAGGTCTCCTAAGAGCTCAGAAAACAGATGGCAGATAACCAGCCACCTACCCATCTTCTCTAAATGTCTTATTTTTAAGAAAATGGGCTTTTAAGCCAGTTTCATTTGTGGGTGGGCATTGACTCATGAGTTTTGAAAGCTTACTGTGGCAATGCAAATCTGGATCAAAACTTGAATTTTGTGCTTCAAAAAGCACTGCTGAATTTTTTTTAAAGCAACAAAAATGCTTGTATTCCATTTAGTTTTCAGACTATCTGAGTTAAATACGTATTTTTAAACCACTCAAGCATTCCCTGACATTGTTACTAGTCAAAACACAAGACAAATCTGTTAGCATATCAGTCACAGGAGATTTTTAAGAAGATTCTAAGCAAGTACCTCTCAGGAATGCTCATGGGTAGCTGGTCCAGCCATGTAGGGGAGAGGAGGTCAGACAACCTCTCAGTCTGTCTCAGCATTTTGATTCCTAGAAAGGAAAACCAACTTTATTAGTAAGACACTTCCAAGAATGGCAGTACCATACGTCCATACCAAATCAGTGACAATACCACAGCTGTTACATAGTGAAGATTTTCATACCATAATCTATAGCATCCTCACACAGGTAAGTTTGCAAGGTAAGTTAAAAGAAGTTGCCAAGTAGATAAGATTTAGTAATTTTTAAGCTTATTAAACACTATTGTTGATGACAGAGGTTAGCATAGGTGTGGTTTGGCAAACAACAATAATTGCTGATCATAATAATAATAATGTTCACTAGAACAGGAAGCTACTATTCCTCAAAGCTTCTGAGTATATACACTTCAATCATGACAGCACATATAATGGCTAGTTAATCTTGAAAACAATCACCTGCAAAATCATAACCTTGTTTGGAATATTTTAATTGCTCTGTCATGCAAATATTCTCCAAGGTTACTATGACTGAACAAAGTTAGGAAATGACTGCATTTTGTCAGAGGATGCGCTTTGTAGATGCATGTTTCTGTACTCTTAAAATAAAAGGAGGCAACTGTCTGTACATCCTACAGGCTTCTGGTGTATGTAATATATTCCATAAATCATAACATAACGATCAGTCCTGCATAGTCAAACACTACAATACTATCTAACAATGGCAGCAGATTTTCAGGATTTCAGATTTCAGCAGCTATTCAGAATTTGATGCTAACTTGTTTCCCTGGAACAGACTTGAAGGAGGCAAACTGCAGATTGGCAGTAGGACTGGGAGGAGCTACAATAAATAAAACTAATAAAATTCAGTGTTTTCACCTTCACCCAACATTTTCAAGTTCCTAAATTCATTTAAAACCTAATTCTGCCACTAAGATTAGCATGTGTAACATGTGAATTTGTAGGTGTGAGAGATGCAGACAGGAAAAAAGAAGTTTCTCATATGTAAACATCTATTTTACTGAACAGCCAAGTGAGCTAAAGAAAAAAGCATGATGAAACTCCATCTGCGTGCAATTCCAGGAGCCTTACTCATCTCAC